CAAAACTCATACAGAAAAGGCGTATAAATTCCAAGGCAGCAATAAATTGTTTAAGAAATAACGATAGAGACAGAAATACCGAGGTGCTAGGTATATAAATTCAAAAATAGTAACGCATTCTGATATTGCACAATATACACCATGTAATATCAAACGTGTTTAATGGGAGCATCTATGGGACAGATAAATTGAAGAGTCATTTACAGGCTTACTTTTAGGACAAAATATTCATTGTGAAAAAATTACTATGAATTTATAAATGTTCCTGAATATTACAGTACAGACCATAATATTTATAATTTACCATTAATACTATTGTAACAAAATTCGGCGTAGTGTGACTTGCTTATATAGAGCCTTCATAATTGATTACAAGTCACGTGAGCAGTAATTTTCTGTGGAACAGTAATTTTATTTTTTTATGTTGTCAAGTAAATTTTAGTAAAAATTAAAAATTATTAAAGTAATAAGATCAAGATTACATTTAAACACAACATTGTGCTTCACCGACTGTGATTGGTGTAATTTTTCACACAATTCTATTCAACCAATCAGCGGTCGCATTATCTCGAACGTAGGCGTAATGCTTTATTACTGCTCATTGTAAACGGATCATTAATATTGGTGACTCCAAGATTAAGGTATATTTCATTACCAGTACCAGTCGTGCAACGTTGGGTTACCTAAGCTCGGGGTACGCATGGCTATCAAGCATTTATGAATGCTCTGTACATTTGTTTACTTATTTGTTTGATGATGTTTCTAAAAATGTTTTCTTTCAATCATGTTCTTAGAAGCTTAGAGATTGTTCTGTACTGTTCTTAGAAACCCATGGAATGTTAGGGATACAGAGATAAATATATAACGGCTGGGCTGACGCGTGGGGGAGTTTTTTCAAGGTTAAGTTGGTATTTGTTATTGTGAATTGTCAAAGTTGTCAAAGTTTGTGTTAAATAAAGGAAATTTGGTACAATATTTTAATTTTCAATATATGTGTTTTGTAAGGTATAAATATGTATAGGTAATGTGTATTTTTTTATATACTCCTTAAATGTTACAATGTACAAAAAAAATGTTTCATTTTATTCAAAAATGAACCATTTCCAAAATATTCTTTCAAATTTAAATTCAAGTAAATGTACTCCCCCAATTTCAAATCGATTAAATTCACTGGAATCTCTAGAACAAGTAGTTCATTATGACATTTTGATCTAAAAAAATCCAAACAACAATTTGGTAAATAAAATCAAATAAAATAATTTTTAGTTATGTGCCCTGCTATGAATATTGATAACCAACACCAAATAATCCATTAAAAAGTTTGCAATTACTTACAATGTACAAAATTAATAAATAAATCATCATCATCATTATTAAATTCGTTCATCATTACCAACGATTCACGCTGTTCATTATTGCATTCTGAATAAAAAATTCATCGAATTCACCATTCTAAAGAAATGAAATTCTTACAAGGAAGAACTAAATATTTTTGTTTCGTCTTAACGTATCTTCTTTTACGTTGATTCCTTGTCCAGTAATGTAATCGAAAGTTGCATGAAAAACTTACTTGCTTAACGAATTAAAATTCTTATTGTGAAAATGAAATTACTCTCCATTCATAACAAACAAGGTATGTGAACTTTACGGTACGTATAAATTATCAAAGTCAAACTTTCACGCATTACTGCTGCGTAGATTATAAGATTACATAGGTGGAACATTATAATGAAGTCTAGAAATTAAAGTAGGCCTTGACCAGTTCATTACATCTGTGGAGTAATTTCTTCAAACATAATAATTACAAAATAATGGTTCAGTCAGTATTAAATTTTTAAACGAAACATTATATAGGTTTTCCATAAACATGTACATAGATACATACAAAGGGCTAAGCAGAATGAATTATACATTTTAAATTTGGTTACTTTAATTAGTGACTAAATTTTTATTCAAAAATCGACAAACAAAACGTTCTTGAGAAAACACGGAAATTTTATTTTTTTTAAATCCCATCATTTAAGTGAACCTCTCCACGTTTTTGGCACTCTTGAAGTCTAATATTAAAGTTTTGCATCAGCCCTGCCAACAGTTGAATTGGGATTGTTTTGATCTCCATCCGAATATTATTTTTCAGTCCATTCGAAGTTTGCGGTTGAGCAGAAAACACTTTTTACTTTAGGTAGCCCCATAAAAGGAAATCACAAGCAGTGATACCTGGCGACCGTTTCCGCCAGTTGAGATACCCAAAGAAAATGACGCTACCTGAAAACATTCTTCGCAGAATTGCCATGACAGTGTAGGAAATGGCCCCGTCTTTTTGAAACCATAGTAGTCGAATATCTACATCAATATTACGAAGTTGTTGTTCAAAGTTATGCAATACCTGCCGATAAGGTTGTGATGTAACAGTAACAGGCAAGTAATTTTCCTCAAAGGAGAACGGTAAAAAATTCGTAAAACTGATACTGTGCATCACACAGAAGCTTTTACGTTAAGAGGATTGTCCGTAACCCAATAACGAAAGTTCTGTTTATTAACATATCCTGAGAGATGAAATTGAGCTTCATCTAACATCAGCAAGCAATCAACGATATCCGGGTTTTCAGCATGTAACAATTCAAAATGCTCGCAAAAGTAAAAGCGTGTTCGAAAATCTTGTGGCACTTTTTGTACGATTTGAATTTTGTAAGTCTTTCTGAATGTGACGATAACTTTGATTTGAAATATTGAATGCTAATGCTAGGACTTCATAACACAACCCGATTTATCCTCTCACCTTTTCAAGATCTTCCTTTTAGTTATCTCTGGCACAAGAAGCAGTAGGCTACTGCGAATCTTGTTTACCCACTTTCTAATTCTTATTGGAGTCGGAACTGGATGTCGTAGATTTAAATGAAAGTAACGACTTAATAAACACTGGATGGTTACAATAATAGAACTGTTATTCTTAAAATAAATTTGACTACCGCTCTATATATTCACCATGGATTTGACAGTATACTATGGATGGAGCCAAATCAGACTTTTTGTGGATTGTAGCTGTTTTAACATGAACTGTACAACCGGCAGGCAGCGATTTGCTCTAGTAACGTGACCTAGAATAAAATCGCGCACCTTGATTTAAAGAAACTCTTTTTCTTATTAGGAAATTGACTTTTGTTGATAGTAACACTTCAATTAAAAAAACTACTGTCGAATCTATATGTAAAATACGCAATCACACTTAATACCACGTATATCCATTACGTGGTATTAAGTGTTACAAATCGTCCGTGATAAGCCTGCACATGCCCTAAGTCACATGACGCGATACTAGCTTCATCTCACTTTACATCTTTGCCCCTTAACCTCTCTCTCTACATTCCATCTGTCAAATCGATGATATTCACAACTAAACTGGCATTTCTCGAAAATCGCTTTGACAACTGCCTTCAACTTTTATCGCAAAAGCATGGTGACTTGATTTGAATTTGTAGCACGTGTATTATGAAACAAACTATATTTGAAAATGGATATTTCATTCTGCCTAATCCTGTATTTTAAGGGTGGATTTTAAAAGGGTTTTTACTAAGTGAAAGAAATTTTAGTAGATAATATTTCTCATTACCACCAGAAAAAGCTGAAATGAATAATCTTTATTACTTTTTTCAATAATACTTTTTTAATTATAAGAGTTTTAGAATATTATAACGCATAACTCGATTCATGTAGAAACTTTGCCGATTTTTTTTGTTGATCAAAACCAAAACTATTTGGAGAAAAGATAAAATTCCAGCTATTTCTTTCCTTTCATCTACCATTCATTTCATTCATCTACTGTACTGCATGATGTCAATTTGAAGTCGTTTATAATCTAATAATAATTATTCTGATAAAAAAAGCTAAATACTTGTGCGGCAGAAGGGACGGTGTATTATCATTCAGTAGATTGTATTTGAGCCTGGGATTAAAGGAAGTTTGCAGATTAGAAAATCCCATCAAAATAATATATTAGGTATAACAATTTTCATAGAAATGTCTATATGTCTATATATTTTTCTATATACAATATGTAACTCGCGCTGCGGATATCACATTTTTATTTTCACCCGCTTCATTAAAACATTTAAGTAGTATGAAAGCAGTAAGAATTTAAACGATTTTTAAAATAAAATCAGTCATAAAAACTTTCTCCAATATTTCTATGCGTGCAGTGTAATTATTTCAAAATAGACATCAAACTGTACTAATGTGGTAACAGAGTAATATAATACAGAAATATTGTAAAGCAATGTTTAGAAAAACCTAAAAATGTTATTGTTAACTGGAATAAAAAAGATCTTTGGATTTCTAACAAGCTGTGGATATAATTGGACTTATCACTAGTGCAAAATGTGGAGTATGCTGACACAAAGATGAATCTCCATACATATCCATCCCTGTACCTATTTAGTGAAAAGACACAGGGAAACTCTAACTTATTCTAGCTCGTAGTACGGTCCAGTAGTAAACTACCAAACCACTAGCGGCATGAAAAATGGGTCAAAAGAGATGGATGGTAGGTACTATTACCAGCCAACCGTATTTATGACAACAACAACAATAATAATAATAATAATAATAACANAAGTTTTGCTCTCCTGATTTTCGGCTTTAGCGTCATTATTGTATATATATTGAACTATAGTTTTTGAAAGTTTTATCACTTTTTGTTTATAATCGACATTTTTACAGCAACTTAAAAAAATTGGCGTTTTATACCGTTTTTTCAATCTCACGGATTTGTTATTGCAAATTTCGTAATCGGACCACAGCCATTTTGTAGCTATTATTATTACGAACAAAATCATCCCGCTGAGTTATTTAAAGAAAACTACTAAAAAAAATTTTTTTCACGATTAAATTATTAATAACTTTTTTTCCTGATAAAATACTTTGTCAGCACATTAGCCAGTTATTGTACTCATCATTTAAAGTAGTTATTTCCGGGTTATCAAGGTTTGACACACGCCGAACTTCTACCAACTAGACTATAAATCATATCAAAAATTCAGGCAAGTTGACCAAAATTTCGATTTAAAGGACTAACATACCTGATCGTTTATACTCTCATAATTGTACACAGGCAGTTCAAATATTCCATTTTCGTCCTTGGCTTCCTGGAATCTCTTCTTTCCATCCCAGGCGGAAGCTATCATCCCATTGACGCACATGTCAGCGGGTATGATGTTGGCGTACTTGTCCTGGTCGCAACGTACAACCCTTAGTATACCTAAACTGGCTGCGTAAAAGATCCCTGTGGCGCCATATAGATTGTTGCACCATCCCCTGATTGGTTCCTTGAATGTGGACAACACTGACAAAAAAAATTATTAGACACTAAAGCAGATGGGGATATATGCACGGTTTTTGCGCTTAGTGCTATTAAATGAGAGGGAGGAAATTGGAGATAGGGGTGAAAATGCACCACTTTCAGTTTGTCCCCCATTTCCTTCCACGCAACTTCATTTTTCTCGAAAATGGTACATGCTACCGAATTTCGACAAGTATACCTTTTTTGTGCTATCCTTTAGAGTTTACAGAACCGTTTAGAAATGTAATAAATTTTGACTTTTAACATAATTTTTTTTCGATTGTATCCCTCCAATCACCTGCATCGGCGACACTGCTTTTCGGAAACAAGCCGTTTGCACATTATTCTTAACGTTAATGTTTTTGTGAGAGTCAGTGTACCTATTGTAAGGGCTGGGTTGTTTTCCCCTTTTTTTCTGATCATTCTATGCAGCTGGTTGAATTTAACTGTAACAGCTCGATTACTGATAAAACTCGTTTTTATGAACGACGTGATTTTACGAACGATTTCAATATTCAGATTTTTAAATTTCACACTGCTAATGTGGGATGGAATGCTCTGATAGATAACGTGCTTGATAGCAATGATAAATTTGATAAGTTTTTTTCCCGTTTTTTGGAGATAGTTGATTTGTCTTTCCCCTTGGAATCGTTTCGTATTATTGGGAGGGGTAATGGACCCGAAACTAAACCTTGGATAACCCCCTCTGATTCGGGAACAGTGCCGTTTGTTGAAAGGTACTTATTTTGCCCTACAGACAGAAATATGGATCTGTACAAACAATTAAGTAAATCTCAAAAAAAAACTATTTGAGAGGTAAAAAGAAGTTACTATAGGGAATCAACTGCGTTAGCGCAGAATAAATCAAAGGCTGCTTGGAATGTGATAAAGGATAATGTAAATGTAAATAACCGCTCTAGTGTCCCTATCTTTTTTGTAGATGATCCTGTGCCTTTTGCGCAATCTGCGGAAGCTTTTAATTCATTTTTTCTAGACTCTGTTCGTGAAAGCCGTAACTCGGATGTAAATCATAACAATTATCTTTTTTCATCTCAGACAAGGTGGCTGAATCTTTTACTCTGTTACCACTTTCTCACGAGGAAATGGTCGAGGTGATAAATAGTGTTTCTATCAAGGATTCAGGGGGTTTTGATGGTATTCCTTGTTCTATCCTTAAGTTCATGACGTAAAGGAACCTCTTACTAAACTTGTAAATAGCTATTTTGAACAGGGTTCATTTCCACCTATTTTAAAACAGAGTTTGATCGTCCCTATTTGTAAAAAGGGGGAAAGTGATAAGATTTCGAATTATANCGGATGTAAATCATAACAATTATCTTTTTTCATCTCAGACAAGGTGGCTGAATCTTTTACTCTGTTACCACTTTCTCACGAGGAAATGGTCGAGGTGATAAATAGTGTTTCTATCAAGGATTCAGGGGGTTTTGATGGTATTCCTTGTTCTATCCTTAAGTTCATGACGTAAAGGAACCTCTTACTAAACTTGTAAATAGCTATTTTGAACAGGGTTCATTTCCACCTATTTTAAAACAGAGTTTGATCGTCCCTATTTGTAAAAAGGGGGAAAGTGATAAGATTTCGAATTATAGAGGTATCTCTTTGGTGTCGGTGTTTGCAAAGATATATGAGAAGGCTTTTGCAGAAAGTTTTTCTTGAGTGAGCACAAGTTGATTAGTAATTTCCAGTTTGGTTTCAGAGCTGGTTACTCAACGTTGGATGCTTTATTGACAATTTATGAACAGATTTTGGAAAGTTTTGAGTCCAAGCAGAGATCGGCTTGTTTCTATTTTGATTTAACGGGGGCTTTTGATACCGTAAGTAAACCATGACTTACTTCCTATAAAGCTTGAACATTGTGGGGTCAGGGGTACTCCCCTTGAGTGGTTGAGATCTTATTTGTCAAATCGACAGCAGAAAGTTATCGTCAAGGGTCCTGTTGGCCATTCTACATCGAGCAACAGAGTGGTTCCCTTGGGTGTTCCTCAGGGTAGCATTTTGGGACCTATTTTGTTTATCATTTTTATGAACGATCTTGGCAACTGTTTTTATCCAAATCAGGCTTCTCTCTATGCAGATGATTCCACAGCGGGTTTTCGGGCAAACAGCGATGATCAGTTGGCTCGTGAGGGTGGGAATTGTATTGATGTAATGAAAAGATATTGTGTGGCAAATGGACTGCCACTAAACTGCGCGAAAACTGTAATGATTTCTTTTTCAATTCATGACCCTAATAATAGTTTATATGCTGCCTTAAATGGGAGATCTCTTAGGGGTAATGATTGTGCGAAGTCTCTGGGAGTCACATTTGACAGGTGTCTTAACTGGCAGGCTTACATAGTGAACTTATGTAAGGGGCTATCCAAACATAACTTTGTCATGTGGAAGCTGAGGGAGTTTGTGAGTCTTGACATACTGAAGTTATATTACTACGGACAGGTTTACCCTATCCTAAGCTATTGTATCTTCTGATGGGGTAATGGTTCGGGTATTGACAATTTAATGATTGCGCAAAAACGAATCATTCGAACTATGCTGTTTAAAACAAGGCGTCATTCTTGTCGCCAATTATTTAAAGACTTGGGAGTCTTGACCGCAGTCTCAATGTATATTTTAGAGTGCGCGATGTACGTCAGGGTTCACATGTCTGAATTTACGCAGTTCGCTGATAGACATTTGACCTCAGAGATAGGCATGCTGTCGTGGTACCTAGACACAGATTGGCAAAGTCAGCTAATGGTCCTTTTATTATGGCACCTAAAATATATAACCTTCCAGTTAATATAAGAAATATTCAGATCATCCCGTCCTTCAAAAAGTCGTGTAGAGTGTTACTTTTGACAAAATCGTTCTACACGGTGCGTGAATTTTTTGAGTGTAGTTTTCTTTGATTGTTGTTTGTTATCTTGCATTGAGCAAATTGACTTTGTAGTAAATGATTGTGTCATTGTTATTTATTTGTTATATATTTGTATAAATTCTTATTGTGAATTTTATTGTATTTACTTGACGTTTTCCATGCATTGTATTATGTCTCAGGAGAAATAAAGCATATTATTATNTCTAAACTGCGCGAAAACTGTAATGATTTCTTTTTCAATTCATGACCCTAATAATAGTTTATATGTTGCCTTAAATGGAAGATCTCTTAGGGATAATGATTGTGTGAAGTCTCTGGGAGTCACATTTGACAGATGTCTAAACTGGCAGGCTCACATGGTGAACTTGTGTAAGGGGCTATCCAAACATAACTTTGTCATGTGGACGCTGAGGGAGTTTGTGAGTCTTGACATACTGAAGTTATATTACTACGGACAGGTTTACCCTATCCTAAGCTATTGTATCCTCTGTTGGGGTAATGGTTCGGGTATTGACAATTTAATGATTGCGCAAAAACGAATCATTCGAACTATGCTGTTTAAAACAAGGCGTCATTCTTGTCGCCAATTATTTAAAGACTTGGGAATCTTGACCGCAGTCTCAATGTATATTTTAGAGTGCGCGATGTACGTCAGGGTTCACATGTCTGAATTTACGCAGTTCGCTGATAGACATTTGACCTCAGAGATAGGCATGCTGTCGTGGTACCTAGACACAGATTGGCAGTCAGCTAATGGTCCTTTTATTATGGCACCTAAAATATATAACCTTCCAGTTAATATAAGAAATATTCAGATCATCCCGTCCTTCAAAAAGTCGTGTAGATTGTTACTTTTGACAAAATCGTTCTACACGGTGCGTGAATTTTTTGAGTGTAGTTTTCTTTGATTGTTGTTTGTTATCTTGTATTGAGCAAATTGACTTTGTAGTAAATGATTGTGTCATTGTTATTTATTTGTTAAATATTTGTATAAATTCTGATTGTGAATTTTATTGTATTTACTTGCCGTTTTCCATGCATTGTATTATGTCTCAGGAGAAATACAGCATATTATTATTATTATTAACGCACAGTTGATGTTTACTCGTGTAGAAATTTTGACATTTTTATCTTTAGCCGATTTAAAGATTGGATTACCTTGGATTTAAGGAAAACCATTTGGAAAGTAACAACTTCAACACACTGTATCTCGAAAACATAGCGTCTACGAAAAAAACTTTACATGAACTACCCCTATTATTTTTCCATGAGGAACTTGTACACAAGTTTTTTTTAAAATATGAACGGGACGCCCTGTATATATTAATATTTTTTAATTTTTCGTCGTTTTTAACATAATAATGATTATAAGAAGACCCTGCATCCATTTTAGGTTGCCAATTTCCAGCATTTAAAGCACGGTCTGTGGCGATAAGCTATATTGTCTGTGATAGGACGCAGAGGTTCAATTGAGTGGTTTCCCAGATCGCCAGATCTAATACCCTTGGACTTTTTTCTATGGGGACACTTATAGTCCAAAAATGTATACAGCACGCCTCTGCTTAAGGGGTAACTTCCAATACGTCAAAACTTACGCCATCACGTGTCCTCCTTGAAATGAAAATCGACGTGTCTCAGGTTTTTTTGTTTTTTTTTTCATTCCGATATTCGAGGTGGGAAGTTTTAATTGGAACACCCTGTAAAAAGCATTTTTCCTTCATTCGGCAATTTTTACATTCTTACCAATGGCAGGTCTGTAGACTACAGCAGGCAATCCTTGCATTTCTGTCTTTACGACATTTTCCGCTATCTGTTTCGTATAAGTATACGTGTTAGCATGTTTTCCTCTGAAACTGAAAATTAAACATTAAAAGTTGAATGTATTTTTTAATATTGATTATAATATTAAATTGATTTTATCAACCTAATTTTTGGGACAGCCCCGTATTCAGGGCGTCACAATTTTTTTTTGTATCGGCGCCTCTGCTAATAGGCAATAAGAAAATGAGTTCTAATTATTACAGTATTCCTATTACGTACTCTGATGACAACTTTTCTAGTAGGAAGCCCTCGATAGTCTCGCTCATAACTATCAGCTTGTGATAGTCGATGTTGGCTGGGCAGATCCTTTCCTCTATCACATCCTGGAAGCAGTTTGCATAAGCTGTGGACACATAAACGAACGACTTCAGGTGTGACATCTGTCGCGCAAGCAATGTCAGGTCTCTGGTCGCCCTGATGTTGGCAATCACGGCTGTTTTCAATTTTTCCTCGAAACGAACTGTCGCCGCTATATGAAAGACGATGCTCACCTGTGTTAAATACGATCATTAGATGTAGCAATATAATATCTATACTCCGCGGTCGAAATTATAGAGAGTGATTCATACATAATATAGAAACACTATTACCGTAAAGTGTACAAAACTTAAAATGATTTTTATAACGGTTCAATATTATTTGCTTATGTTAAATGATGTACCGCTCTCTTTGCACATCGATAGGATCTATAACAGTCATAGACTGAGTTACACTGAACGCAATTTATTTCCTATCTATGTCTATCGCACTTATTACAGATAGGGAAATGCTCTTTTTAGTGGGTGTAAACGGACGTACGTAGAATTCGAGTTAGCCGTAGTTAGAAACGTCAAACGATAAGCGCGCGCGAGGGTTTGCATATTCCGTGACTGTAGTAAATTTATAAATTAAAAAAATACAATCGGGTGGTTTTAAAACGTAGGAAGAATAATTAAAATGGATCAAAGTGCCGGTTGTAGCAAACGGTCTGTTGCTCATAAACGCCCTAACCTATGCGATGCGGAATTAATAATGGTAAAAAACGTGTATAAAGGAATTCGGTCGCGAAATTCTAATACAAGTGTAAGTGAAGCTGTTGATATGTGTAGTTCGTTGACAAAAGTATCCGTTGCTACTGTTTATCGTGCCATAAAAAATAGTGTAGAAGTGAATCCAAAGGAGAAAAAAGTGGAAACACGAGGGAGGAAGAAAATAGAAGTCGACGTTGACGTGAAATACTCCATACGTAGGAAAATTCATGGATTGTTGTTTAGAAATGAAATACCAACGATAAAGAGAATTCAAGCTGCAGTAGCTGAAGATGAGGATATTCCTAATTTCTCTGATAAGGTTCTTAGAAGAATAATGCGTGACATGAATTTTCGATATTTGAAACGGAATCGGAATAGTATGCTCGTTGAAAAAGACGAAATTGTGGTATGGCGAAGATTAGAAAAAATAAGAGAACTTCGTGCATCTGGTAAGAAGATATATTACATGGATGAAACATGGGTAAACGAAGGTCATACTGTATCAAAAGTTTGGCAGGATGGTAATGTTAAGAGTAAGAGACAAGCATTTTTAGATGGATTTTCTAGGATTAAAAGCACCTTCTGGAAAAGGACGAAGATTGATTATAACACATATTGGAAGCGATACGGGATATTTAGAAAATGGTTTGCATGTATTTGAGTCACGAAAAACGGGAGATTATCATGAAGATATGAACAGCGACGTGTTTGAAAAATGGTTTGAATATGTTTTATCATATCTGGAGCCAGGAGCAGTTGTTGTGATGGATAACGCACCTTATCATAGTAGAAGGGTTGAAATGTTACCGACATCAGCATGGAGAAAAGAAAATATTATGGACTGGTTACAAGTACAATTATTAAAAATTGCCCAAAGAGAAAAAGGTCAATACATTAAGTATGTAGTGGATGAGATGGCCAAAGATCGAGGAATTCGTGTACTCCGTTTACCGCCATACCACTGTGAATTAAACCCAATTGAGTTGGTTTGGGCACAAATAAAGAATGAAATCGCACGAAAAAACACCACCTTTAAAATAAACGACGTGAAATTATTATTACAGGATGCTATTAATCACGTCACTGCTTAAACATGGTGTAAGTGTATTGGACATGCACAGAAAGAGGAACAACGTATGTGGGATCTTGATACAACGGTAGAAGTGTTCATAGAACCAGTCATTATTCATTTGGGTGAAGATGATTCTAGTGATAGTGATAGCAACAATGATATGTGAAATATATAATGTGAATAATGTGATATGTAAGTATTTAAATATATTAATAGTGAAGTGATTATGTGGCAGTGAAGTGAAAGTGTGACAGTGATAATATTCGTGAGATAATTATTATAAAATATGTAAGTACCTACTTAAATAGATATATTAATAGTAAACATTACAATATTTTGCGGCGGCGTAAGCCAGGTGGTGGTGGGTTATCGATGCCCAATAGGGCATCGTTTTATAGAAAACACTTAAAATTTAAAAACTAAATGTTACTAAAATATTATAAGTTTTCTCGATAAAACCTCTAAAAATAATAGATGTTATGTTTTATTACATTTTTTCCATATTTTCTACATCTTGTTGCCTTTTACGTATACACGCCTACGGATGAATCACTCTCTATAATTTCGACCGCGGAATATAGGCAATTAAAATTACAAGAGAAGAGACTCATTAAAATACATTAGACCACAGACCACCTAGACTGGCTTATAGAGCGAATTGAAAACGTGAAAACACTTAGGAGCCTGATTTGGAGCCCAGCGCTCAGTTGTGTCCTAGCATTTGACGTATACGCATCGCTGTGATTTCGATAAATAGACGTATTATCATGGTTAAGTGTATTGTAAAACGTATAAATAGAAGTGATCGAGTTGGTCAAGAGAGGCGAAAAGTTTCCTTCTTTAGGTAAGTAAAAAAAAAGGAATATATAAAAGGTAAATATGTACGCTATTTTTCGGTTGACGTCAAAAGTTTCCAGGGTTAGCTCTTAAATTTTGTTCTCCCATATAGTGTAGTGATTAACGTGATATTGTTATTATAACATAATGATTGAATTACTGTAAAATATTTTTAGTAATTATTTGCTTTATGTGTCTCAAATTGTTATGAAATTTTACTAATTCCCGTCATTTCGAGATAGCTGAAAATTAATTAGGTAAATATTTTGTTTCAATTGAAAAAATCGCAAACAAAACTAATTTCAGATTCATATTCAGCACCCTGGAAAAGGAGAGTTGGCAAAATATGATTAGAAAAGTCAGAGAGTTTTGTGACAAAAAAAAAAATAATTAAGTACGCTTTTGTTTTTCAAACCTAATATTTAAATTTTTACAGATCTCCAAGGAATGTTGACATAAAACGAAGATGGGTGAAGGCTATTAAAATAACAGGACTGGACACTGCAAGTACATTATAGTATATATTGGCGGTTTCGTAATAACAAATTCTTTAATAAAGCCAATAAAATGTGAAGACTGTGTAAATAGTTTAATGTCAAATACACATTATTCGTAGTCAATTAATTTTTATTAAAGATCGTGGTTGTTTGACGTATCCATCTCGAGATGTCGTAGTAATATGTCAAGAAACAGAAAAATTAATAAAAATTTTTAATAATTATGAAAGCAGAACACCCAGGCTACAGAAAAATAAAATTGTTTATCATGTATTAAAAACTTTCTGAATGTGAACATATTTGAAAATTTGCATGAACATCAATTTGATAATTTGCCTAACAATTGTATTAGAACTTGTAAGTGCTGAATGTGAAGAGTATATCGATGTACGAATAAATCCTGAAGTCAAATTATTTAATTCGGTAAAATCTACGAAAAGGCAAATATTAAATAAATTAATATTATTTAGTGGACAATAAATATATTTAAATTATTTTGTAGTTTTATTTAATATGACACTAAAATATACTATTTACTGAATTACAAACTTAAAATTGAATATTTGTCATAAGATGCAATATAATGTTTAATATGTAATAGAAATATTACTTAATCTGGATCTGCTTAAAGATGCGCGCGATCAGATTGCCTTCCACACTCCACTTCCCTGGATTTTGCATTCACTGGTACCCGTGCAACGTGCATTGAAATTAGATACGGCCAGTCTAGGTGGTCTGTGCATTAGACCTTCCTAACATCTCGGCAATAACTCCTTGTTCTGCCACCAATCGTAGATGGTTTTTATTCAACTGTTGCATTTTGATCTTGTTAAAAATGTCAGTTTCTTTACTTACATGTCATTGTAGAGTACATAATTAATCTTTTACAAATATGTGCAGTAGGGTGGCCCAAAAAAAAAAAACGAATATTTTTTTCCGTGTCTCTTGAGAAAATATGTTAGTTTATTATGTTTTAAGAGCCACCTCAAAAAATCTGCTCATAAAAAATTTTTTTAGAGATCGCTCAAGATTTTTAAAAATTTCCAAAATCGTCAAAAATTATTTTTTTTTCTCGTTATTTTATTATTTTCTAGGTTAAAAAAAATCTCGATTCTGAAAATTTCAAATCGATATTTTTATTTCAAAAGGTCACTCATAATTATTTTAACATTCAAAGTAGTGTATCTAAAAGATTATCGAGCGACCTAAAAATAAATATCAACGAAATAATAATTTTTTTTTATTGAATTCGATGACCAAAAGAATAGAAATAAATCACGAGCCACTTAAATTTTAAAAAATTAAAAAATTATAAATTTTTGATACTCGCAGTGCGGTAGTAAATTTTGCTTCGAGAAATTTTTTAAGTGTCTCGTGATTTATTTCTATTCTTTTCATCAAATTCAATAAAAAAAATATTAATTCGTTAATATTTATTTCTAGAGGTCGCTCGAAAACATTTTAGGTACACTACTTTGAAAGTTAAAATAATTATGAGTGACCTTTAGAAATTAAAATATCGATTTGAAATTTTCAGAATAGAGATTTTTTTCAACCTAGAAAATGATAAAATAACGAGAAAAAAGTTTAAAAAAAATCAATTTTTGACGATTTTGGAAATTTTTTAAAAATCTTGAGTGACCTCTAAAAAATTTTTTCTGGACTGATTTTTTGAGGGGGCATGATAAACTAACATATTTTTACAAGAAACACAAAAAAAGTATATTTTTTTCATATAACATTTTTAACTTTTTAATTTTTTTAATGGAACACCCTTTATATTATTCGATTATTAGAATCTCTGCTTCTTTTTTTAGAAACGTGTTTAGGCGGGTATGTGTAGGTTGGACTACGGCTACATTTTAAAAATACTGAAATATACAGGGTGTCTAGGAAAAGCGTACCATATCAAAGTTATGTATTTTTAAATGGAACACCCTGCATTTTACTGTATTTTTGAAAACACCGTAAAAAAATAGGTGAAGTTTATTAAAGGTTCTGCATACCTAGGATTTATTGTTTGTGAGATATTTAATTTTAGTGAAAATGAAGGCTTAGCGTAGAAATTTAATATTGGCAATAAAAAATAATTTTAATTATTATATTTTTCGTCACTTAGTATTGTACAGGGTGTTCAAAAAACTGCTGGACACTTTTTTCAACTTTAAACAGCAATAACTTGGTTGTTTTAGATGGGATACCCAGTATATTTTTACTTTGGGAGTTAGGAAATTTAAAACTCTTTGAAACTGTGTATAGGTTCCCTACATCTATCTCTAACGGTATTGGAGATATTTGTGCCGTTTCGTTTTTTATCGAATTTGTAAGATGTATTCACATGTCTTTATCGAGGTCTTTATTGAATTTGTAATATCATGACAATATTCAAGAAAGTTTTCTAATAAAAAATATTTTTTATAAGCAGAATAATTATAAAAAGTTATTAATTTTGTATAAATATGTTTGTTGTACGTAACTGAATTAAATTAAGAACAACATAAAAAATACTTATTAAAGCTAATTTTACTTAAAAAACAAAGAAAAATTTTAATTGATGATCGAATTGATAACCATTCTCTTGAATACATCTTATTCTATCTTCAAATGATATTCTCACATTCCTTAGAATTGTGGCAAATGCATCTCTAATCCTTCCCTTTATATCCTCGTAAGAAGTAGATGGTACACTTTGTACAAGATTTTTTATATGGCCCGAAACAGAGAAGTCCATTACGGTGAGGTCTGCACACCTACGTGGCCACTGACATGCACATTCCTACTTATCCATTTATTACTAAATTTTCGATTTAAATAATTTCTCACTGAATATGAAATATTTGCAGGTGCGCCATATAATTGCATCCTCAGTTTTCTCCTTATATTTAAAGAGACGTCATCGAGAAGAACCTAAACCAATTCAATAAAGTCCTCGATGAAGACACGTGGATACATCTTACAAAAAAATTCGAGATAAAAAACTAAAGGCTCAAATATCTCCAAAACCGTTAGAGATAGATATAGGGAACCTATACACAGTTTGAAAGAGTTTTTAATTCCCTAACTCCCAAAGTAAAAATATACTGTCCCTTTTAAAGTAGCCAAGTTATTTTTGTTTAAAGTTGAGAGGATTATCCAGGGGTTTTTTGAACACCCTTTATAATACTAAGTGACGACAAACATAATAATTTATAACTTCAAGGATTTAAAATGCGCTCTCCAAAGCTGCTTCCTTAAAATAATTTTTTTATTGCTAATATTAAATTTCTACGCTAAACCTGCATTTTCTCTAAAATTGAAATATCTCACAAACAATAAGTCCTAGGTATGCACAACCTTTAATAAAGTTCACCTATTTTTTATGGTGCTTTCAAAAATGCAGGAAAATACCGGATGTTCCATTGAAAAAAACATAAGTTTGGAAGACCCGTTATAATTTCAATTTTCATAAACTCATTAAACTCATAGAAAGATTCCCTAAAAAACTCAAAAAATAAAAAAGTAAAGGGGGTAAAATGTTATATAAATAACCCTGTACACGTCACGTTATGTGAAAACAAAGTACGGACCTGGATTGTACGATTTACCCTCGGACCTCTGAACAAAACAATTTTACGTCTATAACACTTTATTTGACTGCCCCCTTGCCTCCCTTAAAAGTAACGTAAGAGAAGCATAAACTTACCCCATCTATCAGCACCTTCTTGTCCTCGTCGCTAAGCCCTAGATCCGGAAGGTTGCAGTCACCCTCCATCGCCACAACTTTCTGTCGGAAACCTGGGCAAGCCTTCTTCATCCTGCTAAACACGTGATCGTCGAATATTTCCTGCAACCTCACGTCTATATCTTTCCCCTTCTTCTGTCTCATGAGGACGTAAATAGTGGACACAGGGCATGACCTTAGGAGTTTTTCAACGAGGATTTGCCCGATGAACCCAGTAAAACCCGTCACAAAGACCTTGGCGTCCTTGTAGAACTCTTGGATCGGCGTTAGGTTCGATTCGTCGATGTCTATCCTGTCGTCTACGTGATGGAGTTTTTGGATAATGATAGACTCTGGAAAACCAGGGAAGAAAGTAACAGCTTTACTCCCAGAAAGTGTAGTTCCTAGATTATCTATTATGTTTAAACCTAAATATGATTGAACAACTGGGAAATTTAAAGATAGCAGACACATTACCTAGAGCAGGGATGCACATACCGCGGCTCGCGTGCCGCATGCGGCCCGCTGTCGATGTTTATGCGGCCCGCCAACGAATTTTAAAAGTATTCTACTTGCCGCGTTCCGGTCCAAGCATATTATTACGAGACTAGAAATCTGTCGCATCAACTAGATTACAGATTCGCGTAACACGTCAATCCCCGAACAAAATGGATGGTTTTCGATGTTTGGTAACTCGTATAAATACGACGCATTGCCGGCTACCGGGACCGGGGCAGTTAAGTTTTGACTACGGATAAGCGAACGTTATACTGTTTGAGGACTGTAATCTGTGACGAGTAAATATTTCGTCGTTCGAACTTGGCTTTTACCGACTGTAACATATAATATTAATTTTGATATGGATAAACCAGGCCCCAGTAAGAAACGTAGTCGTAAGGTTGAAGATGAAAATCGACAGTTTCATGATATTTGGACCGAAAAATACTTTTTTATTTCATCGCATAACAAAATTGTCTGTTTAATATGCAAGAGTAGTGTTTCTATTCCGAAGGAATATAATGTGAAAAGGCACTATGAAACCCAGCATCCAACTTTTACCAAATTAACTGGCGAAAATCGAACGCAAAGAATTTCCACTTTACAACGGGAACTAATAGGCCAGCAATCTATGTTTACAAAACCAATTCAAGATGCTGAAACAGCCACTGAAGTTAGCTTTGAAATATCTCGAATAATAGCGAAAACTTGTCGGCCTTTTAAAGATGGTGAGTTTGTTAAGCAATGTTTGGATATCGCCGCAAAAAAAATTTGTCCGGAAAATGTAAAGAAGTTTGAAAAAATTCAGTTAAATCGGATGACTGTTCAAAGAAGAATTACCGCATTAGCAGATAATATAGAAGAGCAATTAGCTACGAAATCGAGAAGTTTTGAGTATTTTTCTATAGCGCTCGACGAATCTACAGATATAAGTTCAACTGCTCAACTATTAATATTTTTACGAGGTGTAACGCAAAATTTTGAAGTGAGTGAAGAACTGATTGGTATGAGTTCTTTGACAAGTCAAACCAGGGGAAGTGACATGCTCAAAGCTCTTCTAGAAAAATGTTCTATAATGGATTTGGATTTAACGAAAATATCTGGAATTACAACTGACGGAGCACCTTCAATGGTTGGAAGTACATCTGGGATAGTAACTCTGTTAAAAACATATTTACAAACTAAAAACATAAATACCAAGGAATTAATGCAGTTTCATTGTATTATACATCAAGAGGCCCTCTGTTCAAAATTATTGGGATTTGAAAATGTTATGAAAGTTGTAGTACCTACCGTAAACTTTATAAAATCACGAGGTCTCAATCACCGACAATTCAAACAATTTCTCGAGGATATTGAAAGCGAATATGGTGATCTCCTGTTTTACACTGAAGTAAGGTGGCTAAGTCGTGGGTTGACACTACAGCGATTTCTTAACTTGATTGAAGAAATCCAACTATTTCTGGCGGAAAAGAAAAACGACGTCCCCGAACTCGACAACCCTGATTGGCTGTGTGACTTAGCGTTTCTTGTAGACATCACAAATCACTTGAATGTCTTAAATACGCGACTCCAAGGCAAAGATCAATTGATTTCGCAGCTATACTCTCATGTTTCGTCCTTTCAATGCAAATTGAGTCTTTTCAGGACACAAATCAATTCAGCCAATTACGGCCATTTTCCGAACTACAAAAAAATTATGGAGAAGTTCAATAAAACTGACGTCAATTTCGCTCATGTTGAAAAAATTGATATTTTGATACAAGCTTTTGAAAATCGTTTTGTAGACTTCAAAAAAGTTAAACCGCTATTGGACATTTTCAGCAATCCTTTCAACATTTCACCCGAAAATGCGCCGGAATTAATGCAGCTGGAATTAATAGACATGCAAAATGATGATAATTTAAGAAACAAATTTAATGAAGGTAATTTACTCAACTTCTACCGTTGCGTTGATAAAAACGCTTATAAAGAGTTGCGAATAAATGCATTGAAATGCGCAAGCTTATTTGGATCGACGTATATTTGTGAACAAACGTTTTCAGTGATGAAACTTAACAAAACGAAAAACCGAAACCGTCTGGCAAATGAAAATTTGGAAGCAATTATACGTGTGGCTACAAGTAATGTGGAGCCAAATATAAAAAAACTTGTTAGTTCAATGCAATGTCATGCATCAAAATAATAAAACATGAAATATTACATTGTAATGATTACATAATTATTACAACAAACATTTTTGAAGGTTATTTTATTTTTATCATTGTATTTCATACTATTTTGAAATTATTCAAACCAAATTTGGATAATAAAGCAAAGTAGGTAAGTAGGATATGGTCAATAGTCATGGATATTCTGTCAAACAGTAATCGCCATACTGCTAATTGAGTTTATTTGTGATTGTTCGAGGTTCAATTTGCTGAAAACTCTGTAAAAATGGAATCTAATGAAGATTTAGGTGTACCTTAGGAGATACTGAAGTGTGCGAAAGAAGTTTCTTTGAATCTTCTCCAAAAGAAATCTCGAGAAATTTATGAGTGTGTCTACCAACGTTTTATGGACTGGTGCAAAGAAAATAACATTAAGTTGTATTCAGAAAATGTATTGATGGTGCATTTCTCAAGCTTAGCAAATAAAATGGAGCCATCAACGCTTTGGTCACAATATTCAATGTTGTGGTCAACGTTGGATATAAAGAAGGGAATTGATATAAGCAAATATTCAAGGTTACGTGCTTTTCTCAAGAGAAAATGAGGGATATGTACCGAAAAAATCGCAAGTATTTACAAAGGAACAAGTTGATTGCTTTTGTAATCGTGCACCTGACAATTTATATTTGATGATGAAAGTAAACGCTTTAAAAATAAAAGAAGAAATTTTTTTAAAAAGCTTTTTTATGGGTCGTTTTAATATTGGGGGTTGCAGGCGCATGCCGTTCTGATGAATTAGTCAATTTAACAATTGATCATGATCAGGGAGGATCTGTCGAAATATCTCTCTCCTAGCTCCTAGGATTAAAAGTGAATACTTTTGTTGCTAAGATACCATTTTCTTTCTCAGTAAAGAAAATGTCGACCTTAGAGACTTCTGACAGTCAAAAATTGACATAGTTTTGTGACGGTTGAAGGAAAATATGATTTTTTGCCATTTTCAGCTAATTTTTTTGCGTTCTTTTGCAAAATTTATGGGAGACAACGGTAATAAACTTCAGACTCGCTTCAGCGTATTAAAATACATAAGAAAAACACTTGATCAAGGTCAGAAAAAAATGTTTTAGTATTTGATACTTTGTCCAGTGCTTATCCCGAAGGAAAAGTATCTATAAATAAGCATAAAGTCGATGCTGTCAAGAAGTTATTGAAATATATCCCAGAACGAAATGAACAGCATAAACTTTTTTATGAAGCTTGTCTTACATGGCCCACAAATTTGGAAGAAGATAATATTTAGATAATTAGTTGAAATAATAGTGTATTTTGTTATTAATAAACCTGTTCTGAAAGTAATAATAACTATTATTTAAGTTTATTTTTAATTATAGCAGTTAGGTTTTAAAAGGAACTAACTCCACTACTGTTTTTTAATATATTTTTAAAAAAACATAAAAGAATAAATTAAACATTATATAAAAATTATCCCACATATATTTGCTTTCAATCTATCATAATAATATTTTATTCTAAATTCAAATCTAGCTTTAGTTTAGCTTTTTGTAATTTCCCAACATTTTGGTACTTTGGAGTCAATTCCTTTTAAAACTCAGCAATTCAATTGAATAATTTTAACTATTTACTAGATATTGCTGGTGTAAGTCATCATTAGGTAAAAAATGTTGTAAAAATATTTTAAATATGCAATTAAAGTGTAACTTACCCATGATTAGAACTTAGTTATGTTATTCGAAACGGCTTCTCATCACCAGATGATGACTGTTTATAATGTAGGTATGTACATTTCCTATTAGATTAAATTTGCATTGTGTGTGATGTATTAATAAATTGATATTTATTTTCATTCTACTAGAAAGGAATTTACATGAATTTATGAATAAGGAAATTGTACCAGGAAGATGAAAAAAAGATATGTATTTACGCCAGCAGTGTGACGAACGTTCTGATCTACAACGGACAATTTCCAATTTCTGACACATGTAGTTAACGTAAGGATAAAATCAAAATATGAACGAGTCTGAGCTTTTTCCTTCAAATACGAAACTTGAGGATCTGTAGAAATTACTATTTTTGTACTCTCTTAGTTATCTTGGAATATATTACATCTTGTCCATTGTATTTTAATCATGAAGTAAAATTTAAAATTCTACTTTTCACCTCGTATACACGCATATCATTTATGCAAGACATATGCATTTATCGACCAGAGAATACTGCGAAATTTCACAATGGAAAAAACCTTTCAGCTTATGTAATCAACGAAGAAACTGACGTTTGAAAATCTGGCACAGCAAGTTCAAGATATTTTATTACATGAAAAGTTCAAATGGTCATTTTAGATGAAAAAACCGCGGAGTGCTATTAAATTAGAGGGTGGAAATTGGAGATGGACAGTTTTTTAATTGTAGCTCGAAAACGAAGCAAAATTTTGCTATAGCTCATAGGAAAAATTATTTAGAGAATTGAATTTTCCATCGAAATAGCTTATTTAAAAAATTTAAAAGGAAAATTTTATGCAAAATAATCGTTAATAAACAATTTGAAAAAAAAAACAAAAAATTCGATTTTTTTTACTTTTTTACCTCTAGTTTCTCTTTGAGTAAAGATAGGTATAGGCATTGCTTCATTAAAAAAGTAGATAAAATTTCCTTCAAAATAAGAGGTTGTAAAGTATTTTTGGATGAAAATTGACTGAAATATGGCCGCTGAAACTTCGCCAATTTTTCGATTTTATACGTTTTAATACTCATTTTTTACAAAAAAGGAAGGAAATAAGACGTTCAAGGATTTTAATCACATGACTTGTTCAAAGGATCATTGAAAATGGAAAAACCGCGGGGTGCTATTAAATTAGAGGGTTGAAATTGAAGATAGGGGTGAAAATGCACTTTTACAGTTTTTTAAATATAGCACGAAAACGAAGCAAAATTTCGGTATAGTTCATAGGAAACATTTTGTAGAGAATTGAATTTCACATCGATGTGGCTTATTTAAAAAATCTAAAAGAAAAATTTTATGCAAAGAATCGTTAATAAACAATTTTAAGAAAAGCAAAAAATAAGATTTTTTGATTTTTTTTACTTTTTCGACTCTATTTTTTTAGTAAGTAGAAGTAGGCAAAGAAAATTGCTGTAGAAAAAAACTAGATGAAATTCCCTTGAAAATGATGCGTTTACAAATTTTTTTGGACTAATATTGACTGAGATATAACCGGTCAAACTTAAATATTTTTTAAATTTTCGTCTTTTTTAACATAATAATGATTATAATTCCCAAATAAATCTCTTTCAATATGCAAATTACTGAGACAGGTTCTAGAGTGGGATCTTTATTTTCAAATTAAAAAAAATATATATTTTAATTTTTTACAGATAATGAATTAAACCAAATTATAGAAGTAAGTCACGATAACTAATTACTAAAAATACCATATTTGTAAAACTACTTCTACTAATAATGTCATTATTAAATATCTAAGCTATTATTAACTAAATATTCCAATTTTTTTCAATATTAAAAAGCTTGTTTTGCATAATGCCATAATACTTATATATTTTTAGATAAAACCCTGCCTTAGGATTACAGTCATATAAGGTTTGGTAGATTTATCTCTAATAATAATGTAAACATGACCAAAAGAGTACATTAATATTATTATTATACTAAAGTGGTTTTTGCAATAATTTTTTGATATTTTGTGTGTCAAATATGTTTATAAAAATTGCATTTGACTTACTAACACACTATACCTGCATATCGTTAACCTACTTAGCAAATGTCGTAAGTCCATTTTTTATCCAGACAGAGATTATGATGAACTTACGATTATTTCTGCCCTTGAATCGAATGCAGTGGACATTCGACATATGCGTTTTGATGTTTTCGCAAAATCTGACTTCTTAGCATCACAGGTTCATGCACTGACAGCTAGATGCCACCAAAATCTCTGTCTGGATAAAAAGTGGACTTACGACATTTGCTAAGTAGGTTAACGATATGTGATTATCATTGCTTATTTACGATTTCCTTTGGAGAAATTATAAACAGAGCAGAGCTACATTTGTACTTGTGACTTATGGAAAAAATGTCAACTCATTTGAATTTGACACGGGCTTCTGCTATTGCAAACAATATAAATCTGTCCTAAAATTAAAATCTGTGAAATCTTTGTTTAATTAATTACTATTGTTTACGTTAATTTGGCGGAACGTTTTAACCTATAACTAAAATAAATATATAGATATTGGAAAGGTAAATTACCTTCTAATTTAAATTTTTTATCTACAATCACCTTATAATCGGACTTTTATCCACACATATGAACCGTCTAAAGTGATACTTTATCCACTAGTGGAATAAAGTAACTTTATTTCACTAGTAGAATAATGAAAAAATAATCAACCTATAATAAATCAAATTTAATTTATTTACTTATTAACATTAATATTTACATTTATAGTAATAGACATTTCGTGTTTTGTTTTATCACATTTACCTCCCTTGTAACATTGTTGTCGTCATTTTCGGAACGCATAACATCTGCCGAAGTTTCTACAAGTTACGGATATCTCTTCTTGTAAGGAACAGCTATATTTTCCTTGGATTTTCCTTGCAATATCAAGTTTGTTAGATATAGATTCTTCAACATAACATTCTGCTACAGAGGAATTCTTCCACCCACCATGCCGTTTGATGGTTGTAAGATCAGCACCATCAGCTAATAAAGTTGTTGAAGTGCGCCTCATACAATGGCCAGTATATGCTTCTGGATTTGCGATATTCAGGAATCAAGCAACTATTAAGGGTATCTTCGCCAATGTGTTGATTCCAACATTTTTTATTGATGTATCTTAAAAGGAATCTGTCTTGTGTTAGGCGAATTGGGCGCAGAGAAATATATTTTCTGCATGTTTCAACAGCATACACGCAAAATCCTTCTTCTATAATTGTAAATTTTCTTAAAATGCCCGTCTTGGTGTCAGGTATTGAAACAAGTAGGTAAACTCCCAACGAATGTCCTGTACGTCACTAATTTTCAAATTTGTCAATTCGCAGCATCGATAGGCACCAGAAACCCCCATTATTAGCGTAACCTAAAGTGGTCGTCAGTCAATTGAAGATGATCCTCGACCAAGAAGACCATCGACTTCAACTGATGATTGCTACGTTCAAAAAGTCAATATCTGAAAACTCGTCAGTCTCAATCCAATATCAAAACGATGCTCACTTTCGACTTTAATGTTTGTTCATTTTGAATAAGGAAATAAAAATGTTGCTATTTTCATTTACAATTTTCCTTGGGAAAGTTGTAGGTACTATCTTTAGAAGAAGTTAAATAGACAATTTTTCGAAACAGTAAAAATAAAGGTAGTTACTCTTATAACATATTCACTTTTTTATTTTCTGGATACCCCGTAGCTTAGATGTACTGGATATGACAGTAAAAACAATCAGTTTTACAGAAATATGAAAGTATATTGAATAAGTTAGTGAAACATTGTTACATGCTTTTTTTCATTAATAAATGAAATTATTAAAGCACAGATCCAAATGTCAAAGAACAGAAACACCACGAAATCCATAGGGACAAGGCGGCGACTACAGTTTTAGTGAACTGGTGTATCCAATATAACCTAAAAGGAAACTTATCAATTTTATTTTTAAACGTACTTTCGTGCAAGTTACCTTCTAAATCTCTTCTGTCCTACAGGAATCGTCTCCAAGGGGTCTTTTATCAAGTATATCCTGATTCCTCGAACACAGTATTCTAAGTATTCTTCCCACTCAAAATCCTTCATATCACAGAAAAAGGTTGTCCTGTCTTCATCATACATTTTAGTTTTAAGTCTCGGGACGTTCTCGGACTCGAAGGACCACTCCTTAAGTATGAAGTAACTCGACACGTCAACCATTTTGTCTATTTTTTTATACACCCTCAACAGTCTAAAAGAAAAAAGCGTCGTTATCGCATTTTTGGAGTTGGTACTGGACAAAGAGACTTACATCGGGGGCTTCCTTAAACAAAATCGAACAGCATCCACCACAAAGGCAGGTATTTTATGGAGGAAAAATGCAGCAATGACGTAAGAAATTCGGTTTCGTGTTGGTATGAAAAACATGTACCACATGGCGTGAACTGAGCTGTATCTGTAGGCGAATCTTCCACATATCTTTATGTAGTCTTCCCAAGTCAGTATCTAAGAAAATAATGCAACCCATATTAAAGAATTTTGCTCAACATTAAATTAAAATAATACTTCTTACAGGACTGTGACTGGCTTCGAAATTGTAGACCGGAACTTCGTTTCCCTTTTGGTCCCTTCCAGCAAATCTCTCTGCGATGTCCCAAGCAGTTGCTATGATCGAGTTCACAACCATGTCTGCCGGCACCATATTCGCTTTGACATCCGAGTAAATTTCAGCTGTCCTCATCAAACCCAACCCACCACCAACTAGATATCCCGTGGGACCGTAAAAGTTGTTAGTCCAACCGCGAACTGGTTCTTTGTATGTTGATTGGACTAAAAACAAAACAAACGTCAACGAATAAAAAAGAACTAGCTTCTTGCACTACCAATTGACGGTCTGTGTATCCCCGCTGGTAGTCCTGCGCCTTCCTGCCTCACGACGTCTTCTCCGACTTGCTTGGTGAACGAATACGTGTTGGGGTAGTTTTCCAAAAGTCTAAACAGTTATAGTATCAAGACAAACTAAAGAATCGAGTAGGTACTTACAGTGGGGTTATCCTTGTTAAGATGTCATCAGGCAGAGCCTCCGTCACAAGCAGCAGCTTCTTGTAGTCCCTAGCTGGAGGATAAACCTCTTCCTTTATGTGGCTATGTGTGCAGTTGGAGAAAGCTGTGGATACGTGAACTAACGACTTTAGATTGGGCATCCGCTGGGCCAGTCTCATGATATCTCGAACAGCTCTAACATTGATGATGGAAGCCTTCTTCAGGGATTCATCGAATCTAACAGTGGCTGCCGCATGGATGACGATGTTAACCTCGGTGATTAAAAGGACTCTATCCTGTATACTAAGACCTAGGTTTGGAAGTTCGCAATCACCTTCAATAGGGAAAATCTTCTCTCTGAAGTTAGGATACTGCTCTCTCAGTCTAGCGAAGACGACGTCGTCAAAGAGCTCTTCCAATCTGGTTTGTACGTATTTTCCTTTCTTACTCCTCACCAACATGTAGATGTTGGAAATATTTGGGCAGGCAAACAAGAGCTTCTCCAACAGAAGCATCCCTAGGAATCCGGTGCCACCAGTGAGGAAGACGTTGGCGTTGGTGAAGAATTTTTTTATAGGGGATAGGTTTTCATCGCTTTGTCCTTCACTGTCGGTTTGGTTGTTAACTGCAAGGTATGAAATCAAAGAGTTCAATAAAAATGAAGTAGATAATACTAATATTCTACCTATATCCCGCGTAAGCTGTCGACTTCTAGTCTAAATCATATAACAATACAGGGTGTTAATGAACTTATATTAAATATTTTGGCCGCATGTCCGTGTTCGTTATGTCAAAATGAGGTAAATAAACGTATTTGTGTTGACAAGATTGCAAGGAGCCACTTTTTGAGAACTGCTGATTTTCATAGAAGATGTTCGATGTACCCACCATTTACTTGCACACAAGCTTCAGCGCGACGTATTCAATTCGCTTACAAAAAGAAGTTTATAGAGGTGCGGTCCGGGCACCAGGGGGTGGGAGGGGGGGTGGGTGAGGCTGCCGTGCGGCCTATCCAGCGATCGGAAAAAGTATTGTTTAGAAAGGCACGTTTTCCACTAACTCCGGCAAGCGATTTTGCAAAAAATTTAGATATGAAGCACCTATTACAGTGTCATTAACGATACCGGCCCACATGTTTACTGAAAACTGTTGCTGAAAGTCACCACGACGTATTTCGTGTGGATATTCGATAGTACAGTGGTGAGTGTTGTTTCATCTGTAACAAGTATTTGTGCTGCAAATTGAAGGTTTCTTGCATTCTCCTGAAGCAACCATTTGCAAAAACCTCGGCGTAGTGGAAAATCCTCAGGACTAAGCGCTTGAATACGTTGAATATGAAATGGGTACAACTGATCTTCTTGTAATGTCCGCCACACAACAGGATGCGAAATATTTACTTGCTGTGCGATATTTCTGGAGCTACGATGCGGATCTTCTTCGGCGAGATCTAAAAGCATCTCCTCGACATTTAAGATTCTTCGTCATTCAGGATATCTTGCAGGGTACACTTGACAAGCTCTGTAGGCATTTTCGTTTGCTTCGCCATAAATTATGAGCATATCATAATATTCGCGATTGCTAAATAAATGGGCCATTTTCAGAAGAAAACTTGGAAATACTGCTATTAAATGTACTATCGAAAAACAGCACAGCAATCACTACAACAATGTATTTTCAAACTGACTTTCGAATACAGTCCGGCTTCATAAAAAACCTACAAACTCGTAAAAAGTGTTACAGAATTTTTGCAAGTACCCGCCGTGATAAAATACATGTATTTCAGCAGTTCCAAAACAGTTTTAAGCAAATTTTTAATTAGCTGTTTTGCTCCTTTTTCACCCCTTTAAATTTTTGACATACATTCGTTAACACCCTGTATGTATAAATATAATGTAACTTACCTTACATACTACATATTATTTAAAAAATACATCAAATTAAGTTGAGAAAAATTAATTTCGAAATTATAGAACTTTTTTTGAGGCATGATTTGAGTGGAAAAAAAATCATGTTTTTGAGCAATTTATAGTTTATTTTATACGAATGTTGATTTTTATATCGGAAATATAACTATAAACAATTTGGATTAAAAAATATACAGTAATAGCGAAAGATACCTTAATTTTTAGTACTTACGCGAATCAATCATTATGACAATATATTAGTCTTAGACACTTTCTAGTTCAGTTCACAATAGAACTGACGATAATTAACGACTTCCCTTACAAAAGTAGTGCAGTTTCAACATTCAGAGTTTGGTAATTAGGACACGCATATAATATTTGAAGGAAATTGGACTACTTACGAAATGGTCTTTGTATTCACATCATTCTATCTAATTGTTTTAACCTTTTAACAACTGTTGTAAAAGTTGAAATAAAAACAGCGTGTTGTACAAGTGTCTCTTATTGGGATTAAAAAAACCCTGAAAATAGTGTTTTTATTAAAAAATAAATAAATAAATAAAATTGCTTTGTTCAAAGCGATCAGTTATCAATTATTTTTCGGTTAGGTCGGGATAATAAATTCTTTAAAGAATTACAAAGTATAGGGAACGAAAAAATTAAAATTCTATCAAAGTCGGCAATTATTACACCTTTCAAATGACACATTTAAAACTGGAATAACAATATAAAAAAATTGAAGGTCATGTAAAAATTATTCCATAATGAATTGATGAGAAGAAAAAATTTCATTGTTTAATCGATTGTTAATATAACATTAATATTAAACGCAAAGTACAGGATATTACGTTCCAATCGTGCGATTTTGTCATATTGTCTAAAAATGAGTTCAAAGAGATTCAGTTCAAACGGTCAGAAAAAACGTTGCCCTTTAGTTTCCATTTTTTTTCTGCGCATCATAAGGGGTAAACGATAAAGTTCTTAGATAAATAAAATTGTTTTCACAGAGTACCATCAACCTTTTTGCCTTTTAAGATATTAAGGTAATTCAAAAGAAACAAAAAAATCGATATCCAAAATCTAGGTATACAAAAAATATCTAACCTTACAGACGAGATTGTTAACTGATCATATGACGGGAAACAACTAAAAAACATACCTGACATATTATTATAATGAAGCTACCAGGATTGTTTAGCAAAATGAAAACATTGCTGGGAAAACTTATTTAAAAAAATTACCCCTTTGAAACGCCCCGGTGCGGACGCCTATGGAGAAATTCTAACACAAAATTACCAAATTAATCATATGATGTTTGATAGAGGTACAGAGATGTCTTTAAAAAACGGCACATAAATATACAGGATGAGTCAGTTTTTTGTAAACAAACTTTAACAGGAGATAGAATGCATGTTTTTAAAAAGAAAAGTTCCTATAAACATATGTCGTAGAAGGCTTCGTTTCCGAGATACAGGGTGTTGAATATAATTTTTTTTTCTTGAATTTTCATTATAACTTATAAACGAATGCTTAGATTTTTTTCATGTTTGGGAGATAATGCCTATTAATTAAGGGGCATAAAACAAACGATAAGAATGTTCAAACTTGCACAGTGGCGGAGTGGAGGGGGTGCTCAACCCCTTTCTTAAACAGAACTTCTACGTCAATGACTGTTTTAAAAAAAATTATTTAAAATTAAAATTTATTTTCATTATCTACATACAGTTTAACAAAAATATTGTCCCTTCTTCTGTTTAGAAATTCCTGTGCGTTTCCGAGTTATTTTGATTTTTAGTGTTTGTTGTGGTACTAAATTAAGTAATTTATTTATTATCAATTATCCGCTAAATATTTAATTATTTCAACGAAACCTACCTAAATATGATTTATTAAGGATTCTAAAAAAGCCGAAATCTCTAGGTTGAAATCTGTTACATTACATACATACAGTACATTATTGTGCAGTTGCCAAAAAGTTTTAAGAAGTTGTTAATTAAATATTGTTATAAATTCAAAAAATTTCTCCATAAACATTAACATCAATGTTCATTCAATGTTTTTTTTTTGTAATTTAGTTGCAGTACATTAGTATTTATGCAGCACATAATAAATAAGGATTGTTAAAATTAGAGTACTAAACAGATTTCAACTTATAAAAGTCTTGTATTTGAGTATGGCCTGATATAACAAATATTTATTTTGACTACATTGGAAAGAGATAAAGAATAAGAGATTTCGGCTTTCTAGAATCCTTAACAAACCATATTTAGGTAGGTTTCGTTGAAAGAATTAAATATTTAGTCGATAATTGATAATAATAAATAAATTAATTTAGTACCACATCAAACACTAAAAATCAAACACTAAAAATCAAAATATGTAACTTGGAAAAGCACAGGAATTTCGAAACAGAAGAAGGGACATTATTTTTGTTAAACTGTATGCAGATAATGAAAACTACAGTTTTTAAAAAAATAGTCATTGGCGTAGAAGTTCTATTTAAGAAAGGTGTTGAGCACCCCCTCCACACCGCCACTGTGCAAGTTTTTGAACATTCTTAACGCTTGTTTTATATCCCTTAATTAATAGGCATTATCCCCCAAACATGAAAAAAATCTAAGCATTCGTTTATAAGTTATAATGAAAATTCAAGAAAAAAAAAATATATTCAACACCCTGTATCTCGGAAACGAAGCCTTCTACGACATAAGTTTATAGAAACTTTTCTTTTTAAAAACATGTGATCTATCTCCTGTTAAAGTTTGTCTACAAAAAAACTGACTCACCCTGTATACATACATATTAGCCATCAGTTTGTTACAGTATTTTTTACACTCTGTATAAATGAACCACCTTATTGTTTCAAACAAAGTTCAATTCTTTGACCTATATTTAACGTCCCAGATTTGCAAACAACAATCATTGAGGATTATTTTTTATATTGAAGCACAAGTATTCATTCAATTGTAACATGTGTAAATTTCTGAATATTAATAAACTGAGGCCGAAGCGATTAAAAAAAAAATTCTCGGTTCCTGTTGGTCGTAGGACATATTTTTAATTCGTGAAAAACTGTCGGCTTTCAGATGGCAATAATGCCATTCCGATCAAATTTCAACGATAAGAAAAAGATCTACATTTTTCGACCCAAAAAAAGAAGTCAAAATTTCGACAGATTTTTCGCGTATTTCCAATTATTTTGCAATACGCGCACAATTTGCACAGGAAAGTACAACTCGTAGAGAAAATTTTAAGACCAAGATGGGTCACGTAAGTATATTACTCTATCATCTATTGAAACTTGAAAAAAATTTAATTTTTTCGAGAAACTCAGTTTTTGCAAAACCTATAAAATATTTTGCAATTTTACAAAAATACTCTTATTCTATTTGCCAAGAACCACATATTATGAAAAACATGAAAAAATTTATTTTTTTTTTTCGTTTTAAAGATAGAAGCTTTGAAAAAATGCGATTTTAAGCCGATTTTTTGCAATAACTATTACATTTGTTTATCTATTGACATCGGACTGGGCTCAAAATTTTAGTTATAAAAAGTTCTACAACTTTTGTCTAAAATATTTTTTCTGTTATTGTTTATTTTTTAATGAAAAAAATAGTTTTTTTCGAACTTTGGACGACATTTTGAAAATGAAGCCCTAACATTCAACTGAGGTAAAGTAATTCATTCATTAATTTTTACGTCTTCGAGAAACAATCGTTGAATTATTTCATATACAGGGTGATTCACAACTTATCCAAAAAAAATTGGGAATAGATGCGGCATGAGAAATGGAGTCAATATTGTAAAAAATTTTTTGTAAAATCCTTATAGTATCTGAGAAAAAAATTATTGAAGTTATAGCACATTAAACCACTACATAGCTGGACAACTGTAGTCTCTAGCGTCATTCGCAGTGCCATGTGACTCCTAATACTGAAATCCGTCGTTGCAGTAGTTTTTACCTGTTATCTGTGGTATTTACATCAGTTTTTTAGTAGTTAGTGTCAAAAATGGCTTGCGTGTATAGCAACTCAGAGTTGATGGATATCGTTTTAATTTATGGTGAAGCAAGACAACATTTGTATTATGGTGAAGTATTTGTGTTATGGTGAAGCAAGACATCATTTGTGTTAGTTCGTAGAAAGTGATTAAGACGGACCCAAATGTGTTTACACGTGAGTGGATTTTATTATTTAAAAACACAAATTAATTTTATTAATAATTAATAAAGGCAAAAGCATTTGAATTTGCCGATATAAAATAGGTGCGATAAAATTCTATTTACATATTTCTTTCCTTGCGAAAGTTTTTGTCCGTTTTTTTCACGCCGCCATACCGGTCGCATTGTGCGAGGTCAGGTTTTACAGTGGACCAGTTTCCAGTGCCGTGCAAAAGTGTATTTTTAAATCAATTTCGAACTGACCTTTTTGATTTTTTCTTTACAAAATTGTATTTGTAAGGGTCCCCTGTACATCCAGATTTTTTTTTTGGATAAGTTCTGAATCACCCTGTATAAAGATTGTCTAAACTTAGAGGTCAAGAATTTGGACTGGAATGAGTATTTTGATACGTTCAAGGTATCAGAGTATATTTGTTGAAAGACCCCATGGAAACAGTTCTGTTAGCGCGAAAGGGGTCGAGGAAATAAATATATAAATATAACTATGAATAATTTTTTTTAGAAAACTAAAGTACACCGACGTATTATAAGGTGATTTATTAGAATTTTTAAAGGGAGATAAGAAAGATCACGCCATTCACCAAGTATGTGTTCCTGACAATCCGAATTGTTTTAAAATTGTGGTGCAAAAGTGTAACAAGGGCCACTTTTACTCCTCAATAATATTTAATACTAGAAATAGCCTTAGTTGACAGCGCCACAAAAATAAATCGGTTTGTATTCTTCTAAACTTCTATTGTTCTACCTCACAAATCACAAGTGCTGCTTCTAAAATATACGTGCCCTTTTTGCTAGGTTACACTGGTTGCATCAGTTCACCAAATGCATTTTAGCATACGATAATCAAGTTTGAAATTCATTAACACTTAAAACAGCATCAAAATGCATAGGTACATGTATTTATTTGTTTCATTTAAATTAAAATAATAAATTCTTGCTTTGTCATAACAAATTTTCTCTATAAAGTTAAACGGATATTTAAAAAAAAAGTGCCATAGTTTTACACTTTAAATTCTTTTTTTATTCTACAAGGACATATTCTGTAGATATATGTTTATCATGTCACATAATATTAATATAACAAAACGTATTTGATGCCTGTTTATATGAATAATTAATATTTTGGATTTATAAATTAGCATAATATCGAGGTCGTTGTATTTAATTAAAAACAGACAAAACGATACTGAAGGAATTGTACTTCTGGCAACACGGTTTACCGAATAAATATTCGATGTTAAAATTGAAAAAACATTGCTGTATGGGGTATGTAGAATGATCAAAGTAGAAGTATCAAAAAAGTAACTCGAAAGAAGTGGCGTTAAGTTGGCATATTGCAAATTTTACTGTCCATGAAACTCTAGACAACATATCGGAAAATTAATTGGTTTATAATGTAACAGCGTCATAAGCAAATTGTCCCAGGGTCAGGCAAAAGCCGCTCGGGAATTCGCTCTTTTTGCATCAAATAGAGCTTAATTTTACGATAATTTAAAAGAAAGAGAAATCACCTACGCTTCTTTGTTTACAAGATAAGTTTTTTTATAGCGTTATTTGTTAATTAGCTATTGGACGTATCAGACTGAGATTTTGGGGATAATTAAAGAAAGGGAAAAACTAAAAGTGAAGTAATCGAGTCCGTGAAGTTTTCGAGGACATAAAATAATAAGACATTTAAAAACTGACACAAAATTAAAGATTAACGAAGCGAAGACAATATCTGCGGTTTTTTTACTTCGTCAGCTTGTTGCTGAAGCAGACTAGTTGAAAATTCAACTTCGTAGCCTCGAAACTATTATCAATTTGGTTAATTTTTACAATCTTTTATTTAACTTTCAAAACGGTTTTCCACAATCGATTAAGCTGAAATTTTGAATAAACGTTTACTTTGGGTGACAATGCATGGTTAGCTAAGTGACGTCATTCTAAATCCAATTGACGGACTCCCAAAGATGACGGACCAGTTATTTTTATGCACCCTCATGATATGGGTATCAAATGAAAGGGTTTGCTGACAAAATATGACAATAAAATGACGTCACTAAAAGCTTGGTTTTTTAAAATTTATACAAGAAATTATTATTTTTTAAAATTGAGAAAAAAAATTCTTTACCGGTAATGTTTCCTGTAATTATTGCAACAAAAACTTAAAAGCTGTAAAAGCTTCATATTACAGGGTACAGGTTTAGGTACTGCAATATTTATTTTATTATAACTTACGACCCCTTGACATTTTTTTAACAAACATAATAACAAAGCAAAATTCTGTTTTAAATGTACCCGAGTGTACGAACTTAAAAATATCAAAAAGTAATGCCCTGCCTTACAGAAGACAATAAAAATTAAACAAAATTTACAAAACTAATGTCTCATTTTTTGTAACAGATTTTTTGGTACATATAATTGATTCTGTAGCGGATTTATTTACAAACGCATTGACAACAGTCACACCACTATCTATCTGACACTTGTTTTGGTAGAAATGGTATCTAAGATAAGCAAGACATTGATTTATCGGTTGACTTACGTATACAGTGTGTTGCAGCGAAAGCCCGGTCTTCCCTATAAAGTGATAGTATGGTTACAAATTAATTTTTATCGTGAGAATGTCATACTCACATCATACAGCGTGTTAGTGGATACGTGTTACAAATTTATAGGATATGTAAAGATTCAAATAGACATTCGAAAATTTATCGTTTCGAACATAGACACTTAGAACTACATTAGGTATCCAACTGAATGTTAAAATGTCAATTTTCTGTGATTGTCTGGGCTTTTGTTGGTAGTTAGCTTAATATGTGGCGAAAAAATCAAGTCGAATAAAATATTTAAAACGGTCCAAGCCATCGCCGAGCATTTGTGACGTCACACCACTTGACTGGCTTGACCCGACGGTCTATGCGCTTTTAGCCATTATCTAAAGTTATTTATTTGTAGTACGGTTAAAGTTTTTTCCCTTATTCGCGGTATAATTTCAGTTTTTTCTCTGTATATTGATATTTTTCCAACAGCGAAATAAAAAATTAATTCAAGAAAAAAGAGAGCCAAAAGGATTAGTTGAGGGTTAATTTAATGTAAGAGAGGTAAAGGCATACTTTAATTAAGTGTATTGTGTATATTCTTATTTCTTTTAATTTTAATATGTATACTTTTTCATTGATTTTGACTGTTCTGTTGGTTGTTTTTATTGACTTTGACTTTTATATACATTATTTTTAATCTTAAGATTTTGTATTGGTCTTTTTTATTATTTTGTAACTTTTATATTAATTTTTAGGATGTATTTTTAGTGCTTCTTTTCGTTAACGTATTTTTTTTTCTTTTACTAAAACTTATCCTTTAACTGGATTTCACCCGTTGGATATTTTAAGAGTAAATAAATAAATTAATTATTTAGTTAATTAATTTTATTAAACTATTTTCGCGTAACCAAAAATCGCACACTGAAAATAACAAATAAGTAAAAAATATGTCACTATTTCATGCGCTGCAACTGATAAGTTAAGCAGGACATAAGTGAATTTAAGGGTTTTATAATAAAAACTTGCACTATGTTAGCTTTTTGTTCTTAGTTTTTGTTTTGACCATTTATTTATCTTAAATATTATTATTTTTATAATTAGTATGTATGTATGTATTATGACGTAAGTGAGACCGAATCAAATATGTGGGCTAGCTGCTAACGAGTGGTATGACGTCACAACATGGCTTCCTGCGTTCTACCATCTGCGATACGATCTGAATATAAATTTAAAAAGATGCTAAATGAGCCCATTACTTTTTTTACCGATATTGTACGTAAAAAAATATCGTTTGAGGAGAAGACAGTCTGAAACAGTCGACAATCGTTTCGCACACGCCTTCACGGAATTTCCAAGAGGTCGATCGCACTGAACAAACAATTAAAACGTGTAATTGAAAAGTCCTGGGCGCGAATTCCGAGTACATTCATCGCGATACAGATATCTAATCTCGAACACCTAAATTTAGGTACCGACAACTGTCGTTTTAGTTTGTATTGGGCCAGCCAAGGCTGGCAGTATTTAATTTATTGATTAGATTGGTTTTTTTTTATTGTGATATCTCGATGGCTGAGGAAGAAGTACGCCCTTCTGAAAAGGTGAAAAAAGCCACGCACCAGTACTTCGAGAGCATTTTCGAAAAGGTAAGCATCACGTTAACGGGAAATGTACGGTTTAGAATTAAATACCTACATACACTGAGAAAAAGTGATTCTCCAATATCTCATTCTTGCTTTCGGTTTGCGGGAAGAAACTGAATATTTATTTAAAAAAAACTGATATTCTATAGCGAGCTCCCATATCTTTGCTCTATAGATTGCATTTCTGGTATCGATGAACAAGTATTTTTTTTAAATCAGTATAAACTAGTTTCCTTCCTCAGTATCCCTCGGATTATGCCGTCATCAGGTAAAAAGAAAAATGAAAATATAATTAAAAAATAATTGCCCCGAACAAAACTAACTGATTTAGGTTTATTACTGATACTGGTCTTCTTTGATTATGATTTAAAGTTAATTGAAGTACAACGAGGTGTTGATTGGGGATGACTCACCCCTAAAATTGTACCGAACTCTACTACCGAACTAATACCGAACTAATAACTCCTCAAGGGTGCAACTTTGTGTATAGGTAAGTTTGGTTTAATTACAATATTTTGGACACCCCTACATGCACCTGCTCTGTGTTGGTTCTTATGCGGGACACCCTGTATACAAATCGATATTTGTAAGTTCATACCACATTCAGAGTTAGGTGTTACTATTTTCTTAAATTTTAATCATGTAACTGGAAACCTAGGCTTATTTTAGAATTCCTTTTCATTATCGGAATTTATTTAAACACCCTGTATGTTATATATGAACATAAATCATCTATATTTTGAATAGGTTTATTTAAAATAATATATTCGGACATGAAACCAGGCAGGGACAGACAGCGCGTCGCTAGTGTTTTTTTAATGTTTTATAAATTATTTCGAGATAAAAGGTGATGATTTCAACATTTTCAACGTCAGTATTTGAGTCATTTCTGTAGAAATTTACTCATTAAGGAAAAATGCTTTATCTACAAAATTATCTTCCGGTATCACTTTCAAGTTGGTTAATAATCCTATCCATTGTGTCCTTCGTGATAATTGAAATTAAATCAGCAAATATTTGTAATATAGAGTGTTTCGAAATTATTTCTATAAACTTTGAATAGAGCAGTAGAAAATTCCATTATACAATTTTCTTATTAACTTATCTTGATTTCTAAATTTGTAATTTATCCTCAAAAACGTTATTGATGTCTAACAAGAGTACATTTTGTGTATCTTCTAGAATTCTCCATTGACACTCACTGTCAGTTTTTTCCAGTCTCATTTTCAAAACAGAACGAACCATTCACCCCACCAGTGCAAATTTGGCGTTCCTTCTGCCGAAAATTCCACGTAATTCGCGCACAGTCTCGTCTACACACTCTCCGTACTTATAATGAATTTTCACCATCTTCGCAACGAAAATTGCGCACAATTCAGATCCTACGTTACTTTTGGGACATCCTTTATATCTGTTGGAACAGCGTTTGCCGGTGTGTTTTAGAAATACTCTTATAACTATAATTTATACAGAAAGTACAGTCTCATTAGTCCAGGCGATAGAGCATTCGAGGCGTTTGTATTTGAAGAATATTTTTTGTACAGAAAAATCCCAAATATTATGTAGAATAAGAATCCGAGGGAAAATATGTCGAAAAACGGGTCATTTTTGTTCTTTTTGCATGTTTGTTGTTCCCCTGAATTTAGCAATGGTTTTTTGGAATAGGCAAACTCGGATTCTTATTCTACATAATATTTGGGATTTTTCTGTGCAACAAAATAGACAGCCTAATCTAGATCTAATCACGTGCAAGCACTCGAAGACAAAATGCAAGCATCACTCATATCACGCGCATCTAAATGAAAATCTAATTTTTTAGAAAAGCTAGTTTTAGACATGTTGCATTTGCATACAGGGCATTTTCTGTGTCTGTGTCATAATTTCAGGAGCTTGTTGCTTGGATTATTTTAAATCAAGAAGATTTAATGAAGCAAAAGTCTACAGCCTTTGGTTTTCAAGATACAAGGTGCTGAAGTTTAAAAAATATTCCATTTATTCAGAGATTACTGAAGATTTTTGATCTACATAGTTGAACCTGGTCTAGGCAAAATCAAACACAAACGCCAAAGCCTACTTTTACTGCTCTATCGCCTGGGCTACAATTCCCAGCAAAGTTTGAATGTATTAATAATCACAACTTTCCTTACATTATTAAAATAATTTAAGCAATCAATCTTACACTAGATTACCTAAATTGCTTAATCTACATGTGTCAAACGTAAACAACTTTTTTCAGCTAAATTCCTTACATCCTTACTTGAAGGACACACGATTTAGATTACCTATTATCTACAGAGCGATTAAAAAAAGTGTGATCAAGCTCGGTTTTTGGTGGTTTCCTTTTATTTTAGCAAATTTAAAATCTATTTCCGTAAAAAAATTCTTCCGACTTTTCAGTATGACAGGGACAACAGCGGATACATAGAACTGAGAGAATTGCAGGACATGGTAAAGGACAACAGTGATGTATCTAAAAGGCTAGCTAGGAAAATACTTCAAATTTCCGATACGAACAGAGACGGCAAGATAAATTATCCCGAATTCGTAGACATGCTGCGAAACGAAAAGTTCAAAAGTGTATTTGGGCACTATATGAATCTGTAAGTATACGTAGATATATTCTTTTTTTCATACAAAATAAGAAATGTAATCCTGGGAGTAAAATTAAAATATCGGAATAAATGATCCCTTTTTATATTTAAGGTTCGTGAGTAAATCGTACACGATGGCCAAGGATTCAAGACCTCACAAAAAAAAACAAATGTGACTATTTACAGTTGCGTCTATAAATTTTCTTCAAGTCAACTGATGAAAAATAGCAACGCCACCTGTCTCAATCGCCATCATTCTATAAAAAAAATACAATAATTTGTAGGCATTCCCAACAGCATTTCTAATGTAGTCAAATTAGTAACATTTCTAACCAGGTATCCAGTATTTGTTGTTAAATGCTTTATAATAAATATACATCCACTGATTGACATTTTAATGAATTATAATTAAAATAAAAACGCAAAATGAGGTTATAGACCAGGGCGAATCTGTCGAAATATCCCACTTATTGGATGTAGGACGGGGCAAGCTAATTTTTGCTGAAATACCTTCAGTATAGCTCACATAATAAAAGTGTAGATCCCTAGATCTGGGCGAGGACCGGAACATTTTCAAAATTGCATAAATGTTTAAAAAATTTAAAAAAATACCTATTTACCCATTTTTAACTTACAGTACATTATGCAAAATTCAATTCTAAAACTTTTTTCCTCTTCAATATTCTTCCAAAATGCATAGGTTCCAAGATATATGCAAAAAATTGATATTTTTTAAAATTATTTAAACATTTTTGCAAATTTGAAAATGTTCCGGACCTCGCCCAGATCTGAGGATCTACACTTTTATTAAGTGAGTTGTACTAAAGGTAATCCAGAAAAAAATTGCTTGCCCCCTCTCACATCCACCTCAAAACAGATCCGCCCTGGTCTATTATTAAATTTCACCCAGTTGTGTGTTTTTTGATTCTGCAATGACATTTATCTAAAATATGTGATGCAACTTCAATATTGTTAGTATTTATCTCGCTAAAAGGTGACGATTTGATACTCGAAAAGATTTATTGATGATGGTGGCTTATACGCAATTTCGACACATTTAAAATAAAAAATAAGGAAAACGAATACAAACCTCAACCTAAGTTGAGTTTTTAAGTATAATAAAGTGTAAGTTGTTTTGTTGAGAAGAGAGATAGATTTAAATGTGTTTGTCAGCACCCGTTTTGTTACTTTTTCTTTGAAAATGGCCACTTTTCATCGTAAGATACAGTTATTGCGATTCAGTAAAACTTTTTGTCTTTAGAGACAATAGTTCTTTGTGGGTATTCTTACATAGTCTTTCCGAAGTCAGTTGAACATGTATAAAAACGCCTAGCAATAAAATTTAATGAGTTTCATAGGCGTCCCTAAAAAAGTTTTCTGCTAAAGGTAAAAATTATAATAATTTGTATATAAATAATTTTTTTTTTCACTTTTTTTACTGATCATGAAAATCTAGACAGCCTATCGGAAAATTAATTATTTTTTGTTGCAGACAATTAAATTACATACCTACAATTTAAGGTATCTAAAGTCATATTTCATCAATTAGTTAACAGTAAAATAAAGGTCGAACGCAGAAAAATCAGTTTTCGAAAATTGCCCATTATTATTGCAAAAAGATATGGATGGTGATGAAATTCATTAAAAAGACGGTCAATTCAATGACCAAAATGTGTGCCAAAGACCAATTCAGTTGACCGTGAAATTGTTGCTCCAGGTATTTGTTAATTAATTTCGTTCGTTTGTTATGCAACTAATTGTTTAATTACTAAACGTTAATTTAGAAGTTAATATTGCAGATATAGGTTCTAATTGATCCAAAGAAACGCATCGAGAAAGAAAAATTAAAAAAAAATGAAATTAAGTTGCCCTTTACAACTAACAAAGGACGTGCAAAACAGGGTTATAAACAAATTGTCCTAGGGTCAGGCAAAAGCTGCTCGGAAATTCGATCTTTTTACATTAAATAGAGCTTATTTTTACGGTAATTAAAAAAAAAAGAGAAATCGCTTACGCCTCTTTGTTGTTTTTTATAACGTTAATTACCAATTAATTATTGGACTGGGATTTTAGAGACAATTAAAGAAAGGGTGAAACATTTATTTTCAGAATGTTTTACATTGATAGTTCATGTAATAACCGGGCTAGCAGTCGTAAAAGTTAACTTTAATGAACGGTCTGCACGCCGGATTAAGAGCGCATGCCTCTGCGCATGCACGTGAACACCGCCCGCGGTCACGCGCGAGATTTTTGACTTGAACATTTCAAATTCCGTTAACTAGACAATAAATCACAGTATTGCTAAGTCAAGATAAAACTTCTCGCACTAACTTGCCTTTACACATCGCGCTAAAGGCACCACCACATGCACTTCACGAACAAGTAACCCCAACCTGCAATTTGAACCACCAAAGGTGAAAGACCTGAACCGTTCATCAATACACCATCCACCTCAGTACGACCTCAGTGCTTGTTTTCAGATATATACGGTTCATAGTACCGCGTCGACGACGCCAAAGAGTGCTAACAACTGACGGTCTACAGGCCGTACAAACCTTCGACGAAGAGGATGGATCCTACGAAGACCAGTACGCGTGCTGCCCCCCGCCCATAGCCATGTTTTTAATTTCAATAATCGAATTCGCTTGTTTCCTGATCGATGAAGTGAATCAAACAGATTCCACCAAAACAGGAACGGGAGTGACAGCCAGGATTTTCATCTACGACCCGCACAGGAGGGTGGAGTTTTGGCGATATCTGACGTACATGTTCGTGCATATAGGGTAAGGAATTAAAAACCACGCCACAACAACCCTTTCTCATCGTAAAACATTTTTTTCGCCAGATACATGCATCTCGTTGTCAACCTAGGGGTACAGCTGCTGTTGGGAGTGCCCCTCGAGATGGTCCACAAGTGGTGGAGGATTATGCTGGTATACTTCGCGGGTGTGACGGCTGGGTCGCTTGCCACCTCCATCACCGACCCTACCTCTTACCTAGCCGGTGCCAGTGGCGGGGTATATGCCATAATGACAGCTCACATCGCTACCATCATCATGGTAATTAACTCTATTATTTGTTTGTATTCAATAATTTTTGGAACCCTCTAAATTGGTACGCCCATGGAATCGAATTACCCTCACGCCTTACCCTTCACTAATAAATAATTTAATGCTCTTTTTCGAATTTGTTTGCAGAACTGGAGAGAGATGTCTTTCCCGGGCGTCATATTGTTTATGTTTCTCCTGGTCATTGTTACGGACGTCAGCACCTCCATTTACAACCGCTACTGCTTGGACATCCACGACCGCGTCGGTTACGCTGCCCATTTCGCGGGTGCCATAGCCGGTCTGTTGGTGGGCATATGGATTTTGAAGAACTTCGTACCCTCCAGGAAAGAGACGTATTTATGGTGGTTTGCGCTAGTGGTATATTTGCTCCTCGTGGGAACCATGATACTGTTAAATATCGTAATGACAGATCATTTTCTAAAATGATGCCGGTTTTCTAAAGTTTATATTAAACCGTGCCAAGATGGAGAACTCCACACGAACACCTATTTTGTAGCTAATTTATTGATATTTTTTTTATATGTGTATAATAAATTGTATACTGCAATAAAATTCTACTAATTTATTTATAAAACCTTTTTCCTAACACAAACAGAAACGAAATTATCGGAAAATCCTAATAAATGATTATTTCAAATACTGCGTTGAAGCCGCCAAACACCAGCGCCATCTGAACTCTCCAAGACGAAACTATGCGTGTGCTGTGCTAGTCAACAAGTCAACTTATATTTTATTAACAATATACATAATATGAGTTTGTTCTAGTTGAATTCTTGCAAATACTTATCATAATTTTCTCTTTATTTTATATTGTTATTTTTGTAAATAAAAAATATTAAGCAAGAAGTATTTTCGTCCTTTTATTGCAATAAATTTATGAAATTGGAGTAGGTGGCGACACTCGAGTTCTGCTGTTCTGCATTTGTTTTTGAAAACGGTTATTTTAGCGCGTCGTTTCGTCGTTTAGTAAAAATAAAATATGTGAAAAAAGTTGTGTTCTTACGGTGTTAGTATTGGTATATCATGCCCAGGTTTCCTCCAGGTTGACATATGGCATATGTCTATGGGGTAATTCCACTCGATCGTCGGACGTATTCATTGCACAGAAACAAATTTTAAGGTGCATAGCTGGAGTCTCTCATAGGCACTCCTGTCGTGAACTTTTTAAAAAATATATTTTATTACCCCTTCAATGTTTGTTAATTTTCGAGCTGTGTTTATTTTTAAAAATAAAAACAATTTCGTTTTAAGTGAACGAGTGCACGGTCTAAATACGAGACAAAGAGATCATTACTTTGTTCCAAGTTATAAATATAATGCAACAATTAATTCACCTAACTTTTTAAGCAAAAAAGTTTTTAATAAATTACCAGTACATATTAAAAATATAAACAATTTAATCTTGTTTAAAAAACAATTAAAACTTTATCTTCTGGATAGATGCTTTTATAACTTGAGCGAATTTGTATGATCTCTGCCGATTCATTCGTTTATTTTTCGTTTTTTATTCTCCTCTTTTTTTTAACTTAGTCAGTTTTAATATCATTGTGACTATTCCTATACAATGTATGTTGTCAAAAGGAAAATAAATTTTATTATTATTAACGCGTTATTCGTTAAATTATTAACTGTGTGTCATAAAACATTGTTTAGTGTTTAAAAAAGCGTTTAGTGATGAAAAAGTGAAAAGTGAAGTGTTCCTACTTGGGAAGATCAACAATGGGAAAAAGGTGATGGTCGCAGTATTTTTTCAAAGAGTTAGGTTCTTTTATTCATGATTTCTATGCGATGATTCTTGTAGAGGCGGTTAGGTATTGAGATTAGAACTTTTTAAGCAGACCAATAATAAACGATGGAAGCCATCGCAACAAAATAATAACAAAAGAATATGGCCCAAGATATTTACAAACGTTCGCGAACATTAAGAACTTTATATATGTGTACCCTGTTGTTTAAAGTAATTAGACAATATCTTGTATACTGTCTGCCTGAGACAGGGGTATTTAAGTTATCGATCACCCACAAACCTAGAACAAAGTGTTGACTGCCTATAGACTGTAGACCTAAAATTCATAGCCAACCTAGATGATCCACTTTCAGAATCTGTGCTACCTGCTTTTTGTGATAAATTATTCTCTCAACTTTGAATCTGGTTTCATGTTAACTAGTATTTTAAAATTCAGCTTTTTTTATTCTTGAGATCACAAATAAAGGGTATGCATAAATCTTAATTACAGAAGTGACGAATTTGTAAAGGTTTCGCTGTGCGTGTGGCACAATCTAGACTTTATTTTTAGATTTCTGCAATCACTATGGAGACTTGATTAAAATAAGCGAAATTGATTTACACAATGGTCAGTGCCAACTAGAATTTGTTTGCGTGCTGCGAAAAAGCTTATTATTCCTGTTTTTAAGTCGATTTGTATGGTTTTAATTTGTTTTAGGACGATTTTAGTTATCGTAAGGTTGTAGTGCTGTTTTTGGTTTAGTGAAATAACCATCCAAATTAGAGGCAAATTTTTGTACCTAAAATATTTTTATGGTCCATTCTATTTTTCACTAAATTACGGTTTTCTATGTAGAAACGGGCAAGGAATGTATAGGGGTGATTAAAAACGATTGAAAGTAGAAAAATAATTTTATTTCAATTTTTATAAAATTTATACCAATTGGAGATAAAAAACATGAAATACATCCATTTATAAAATAGTTATTATTCTTTTTAAAAGTTGTAAAAAACATCATTTAAAACTTGATAAATGCATCTAAAAAGCTGTACTTGGGGTAAATACACTAAGTATTTAGAAAAATTTTTAAAAATCCTTTAGATTCATCGTCTACAAAATACATTTAAAGCTAAAATTATAATACCATCCAGAAAAATAAACTTTAAGATACGTTCCTTAAAAAAAACAATGTCCTAACGAAAAGGTGTTGAAGCAACATAGTAAAAGAATCTGTAAAAACACAAAAGAAATTGGCAAGCAATGTCGAAATTTCCAAAATATTCAGAAATCCTGTTAACCCCTTTATATTTAGAGTCTGTTTAAAGACTGTCCTTCTGTTGTCACACAAAACAGAAAAAACTATATTACAAGAAATGTTGTCGGAAGAGCAGCACCTAGCGGAATGTTAAAATCTAAATATATACATCATTAAAAAATAACTTAAAACGTCACAATTAAAAGCGAGAAAACCGTTGAAAACGTCACCGTTTTCTCAAAGATTCAACTACTTCCTCAACAGAACATTATCCTCTTCCTCGGAACTGGAGATGTAAGTGGCCTGTACGAAATCAGCGTTGTCATCGTCATCGTCGTCGTCATCATCATAGTAGGGCCGTGTCACCATCGGCTTACCTGTTAGTAATAAGACTTAAATAGAGAAAAACCTTATCGTCGATTCACTTACTTTCTGTGGATCTGGAAAACAGTTCCTTCTCCTCGTCCTTATCCACGTCCCGGAATTCTTCGTAGAACTTAATGTTCTGGGAGAGAAGTCCGTACTCGTTCTTCTTCTTGCAAGCCATGTAGCAGAATATGCCGAAACCCAGGGCGCCAGCACAAAGAAGGCCTATGATCGTTGGGAAAATAAAAGCAGTTGTATTTAATACCAACGAAATGAAGCGTTAGTTTGCGGCTATTGAAATTACTTTGTATCGGAGAATATCTTGAATGAATGAATTGTTCCTATATGATTCTTGTGAGATACTTTGTTTTTACCTTTTATCAAGTAATTGTAATTCAATTGTGGGTATACCGAGTGTTCCATTTGTAAGTTTAAACAAAAACTATCTCTGTGTATACAGGGTGATTCATAACTTATCCAAAAAAATTTGGGAATACATGCGGTGTGAGAAATGGATCCAATATCATAATAAAAATTTTTGTAAAATCCTTATAGTTTCCGAGAAAAAAATTATTGAAGTTGTACAGTTGTGACAACTGTACTCCAAATCCAAATACTGAATTCCGATTTTACAATCGTCGTTGCGCTAGTGTTTACTGTGGTGGTGTTTACAATAGTTTTTTAGTAGTTAGTGTCAAAAATGGCTTGCGTGTATAGCAACTCGGAGTTGATGGATATCGTTTTAATTTATGGTAAAGCAAGTCAAGATTTGTATTATGGTGAAGCATTTGTGTTAAGTTGAAGCAAGACAACATTTGTGTTTACACGTCGTTGGATAAAATTTTGTATGTCAAATTATTTTATTATTTAAAACCACAAATTAATTTTATTAATTAATAATAATAATAACGGCAAAAGCAGTTGAATTTGCTGATATAAAATAGGTGCTATAAAATTATACTTATTTCTTTCTTTGCTAAAGTTTTTGTTCCTTTTTATCACACTTTGCCCCCATGCCGGTCCCATTGTATCCCAGAAGTGTATTTTTAAATCATTTTCGAACTGTCCTTTTTGATTTTTTTTCTTTACAAAATTGTATTTGTAAGAGCCCTGTATGTCCAAATTTTTTTTTTATGAGTTCTGAATCACCCAGTATAATCACCCTAAATACATTGTTAATAAGTTTCAATTATTAGGATGTTTATGTAAAAAAAAATAAATGAAAATAAAAAAAATAATTTTTTTGATTTAAAAAAAGAATTGATTTATTATTTTTTTTTAAATTATGATTTTTATCAACCCTGGATTAAGATAAAACAAATTTTTTGTGTAATTTTTCTCACAGTTTCGTGTTAAATATACTTACACAAATATTGAAAAGATTCAAAATTTTGAAAAATTTTGAAATATTCAATGTAAAACTGTTAAAAACAGGATGCAAAAAATTTTAAAAATATTGATGTTTTTTTCAAAATAAAGCAATAAATATAAACAATATTAAATGTGTCAAACGCAAACCAATTTTTTTAAACTTTTAAATGTAGCATTTTACTCACCCGTCAGTATCACGAAAGCTAGTCTAGGCATTCCAAGTACGTTCGAATTTTTCTTCAGTGTCACAACCACCACTTTGGGGAACTCGTTGATATCGTTAACATCGACGATTTTAACGTCGGGGAAGTACCCTTCCCCGTCAATCTTGAGCGTATATTTTCCAGGCGATAGGGGAATACCGTATTTACCGTTCTTGTCGGCGAAGATGGTCAGATTCTTTTCTACGACCTTTATTTGCGCATTCAGTACAGGGTGATCTGAATAATCCTTCACGTAACCTGTAATAAATCAAGATTGAGTTTTAGTAAAATAAGAAATTGTCAAAATACCTTTTATGCCGGTACTGACGACACCGTGAAACGGTTCGTGCATCGTGGAATCAGTTATAACCACTTTGTCCGATCCGTTCTGTATGATAGTTCCTTGATATACCTCTGGAGCTGGAGTCACAGTACCCGAACTTTTCTCATACAATGTGATTTTCGTAAGCGTTATGCTGCCGTCAGTGACAACGATCTGTTTGGATAAACTCTCGTATCCGTGGCAAGCTACTTCTAATTCGTATTTGCCGGGTGGCAACATAATCTTGAAATGGGCTGTTTTCTTGGTCACTTCGATAACTTGATCGGAGCCCGCTATTTTCACGGTGGCGTTTAGCAGAGGGCTTAATTTTCCATCGCGGACATTTCCTTCCAAGCCTGAAATCACCTCGCGATAAGTTCAAACCGTGTAATAATGACCCGCGATCGTTACCTGTTAAAGTACTGTTGAGCACGCTCATGATAGGACCGAGGACATCTCTCCATATGTAGGGAATGTTACCTATATCGGGGTACTCACAACAGCTGACTTTTGCCGTCAGTAACGGAGTGCTGTATTCTCGGTACAGGTAATCGGTTAGAATGTTAGTGGTACCTTTAGTTTGCTCTGTACACGTTTGGGGTATCTTCAGAGCTGATGTATACCTGTCGGCTATGCCTTTGTATAGTTGGATTGGGCCTTTGTCTGAAGGGTATCTGAAAAATGTATTCTCGATTTCAGCAAAAGCTATACCTAGGGTCAAATTCGTAATTGACCCCAAAGCATTGACAGAGTTAACCACTTAATACCTTTGGACGCAATTTTACAGATTAATAATTTTAGATCCACCTCAAGGATCTCATTTGGGTCCTTTATTGTATAAAATATATATTAATGACATACAAACAGCTATTTGCTAATGATAATTGTATTCCAAAGTACCCTCCATAGATGATTCTGCCCATTTGCAAAAATAATTGAATTATCTTATGAAATATTGCCCTGATATGGAATTTAATATAAGATATTGTCATGCTGTTTTTTTTATCGTAAATGTATACACAGGACTTTAAAATGTATAGACACACATATTTTAATCGCAGATACAATTCATGATGTAAACAGCTGCTCGCTTAGAAGATAATAATAATGCATGACAAGTTTGCCAAGTCATATGTGAGGAAAATTATTTCGAATAAGACATCTTGCAAATTCAGTGCACTATGATGAATTCTACTTTAAAAAATACCACCTAATATTCAGAGTGAATAATCTTGAACTTCAAATGACTGAAAAATTAATTTCAACAAGATAAATATTATCACAAAGTTTAAAACTGCACTATTTAAAAAGCAAATCTATTAAATTACACAAAAACTTACTTTGGACGTCAATTTCAAAAATTTCGATGACATTGTAGTTACAATTCCAGATTTTAAAAATGGTATGTCACGTATGTTTACAATTATTTCTCGTCTGGGTTCTGTTTCTCACCTAGAAACTCTCACGAAATATATCAAGATTAGATTGGAAATTAAAACTGAAATTTCACGCTTCTTTATGAGCTATCAAGCTATCAAGATTGCACAGTTTTTGAAACTAGAACATCCTGAAACATATACAGGCCATTCATTATGAAGAACATCGGCAACGTTACTGGCTAATACAGGCATTGATGTATTGGCAATCAAAAGATATGGTGGGTGAAAATCAGCCACAATTGCAAAAAGTTATGTTGCTGACAGTTTAAGTAACAAAAATGAAATAGGCAACAGGATTCTTTACAATGACACTTCAACTCCAGGTTCTAGTAGTACGTGGCATTATGTTGTTTCAGTCAGATAATATTGAGCCTCCGGTGATTGAAATGGAGCGGTCAAATCATTTTGAGAAAAATGTGATAATTAGTAAACGCGAGGGGAATAATTAACCAGATTTTATAAATGTTGCTAAATGTAATAACTGTACAATTACTATAAATATTCATTCATAATAATTAGTAAAATATTTCTATTTATTTCTTCATTTACCTATAACTCAAAATAAATAGTGGGAGCAGATAGAATACTTTGTCGTAACCTTACCATCCACATGTACACAACTTTAACTCGTAGTAATTAATTTAGAACAGAAAATTGACAGCTGAAAACTCAAAAGTGAATATTTTATCGCATTCTGTGGTAGACATGACCTCTAACTACATCACTTCAAAAATTAATCAGAAACTCGTAATATTGAACAAATATGCTTTAAATAACCTGTTGAAAATCATGTGAACCGTAAAACATGCAAATCATATAAAAAACACTTACATTAGTCCACTGGTCCCGCCTTCGATGTTCAGCACCAAATCGTACTTTTCTTCCAGCAACAAATGCTTAAAGGCATTGGCGACAGTTTTCGTCTCCTGGTTATTGCTAACCCTGCTATTCAGGTTCATGATCTGGTCCCCGACCTGTTTGAAATCCGCGGTAATGTTGTTACATATGTATTTATCGGGTTTGACGTTGCCCGACTGCTCTCTGTCGTAGTTACCCCATATTTTCTCGAAAGCCCGATCTATGACCGGGATTATGTGGATCACCGTGTTGCTTAAAATTTTTACTATCGTAAAGTCTCCGATGACGTATCCGGTGAGCAAGTGACGGGCTAGGTACAGAGATATTTCTCTGCCGATGGGCTGCGTCGCGAAGAGGTTGCCCATTACGGCAACGTGGAACTTGGGCTCGTCGTCCCCTTCGACCTAGAGGAGAACAGTAATATCGGTGTCTGTGTAAATATGCAAAACGATTTTGGAAACGAACGTTTTCTTTATGCTATTTTTCATTGGGCGCCCCTTTTTCGAAAAGGAGTCCGAATTAGGATTTAATTGTTGTTTATTTTAAATGTTTTTTTTTGTTCGTATCTCATTTTTTAAATCAAAATTACACAAAGAATGTACTGATATAAGGTAAAAATTTTATTCTGGAACGAATGGGTTGTTGTGAAGTAAAAATGGACGTTTAGTAGTTGATCCATGAAATATTTGTAGACATAAAATAGTACAGCATCTAAAAAGTGATACTAAATATGGGTAAGGTATAACCTATAAAGTATATGTCATATTTTAAATGTCATTGCTGCTCGATGCCTACTGGGGCAAAGCATTGCGTTGTATCTACTGGCAGAGTGACCTACTGATCGGTAGGTGCTGTGAAAGTATGACTAGTGTCGCACTAAGAGAAATAAACTTTTTAAATCAAAGATATTGATTAACGAAGAACACTTAAATTATTACGATCGGAAAAATTTCGTATTTTTATGGCTTCCAAGACAAGTCTATAAAAAAGCAATTTCCTGGACTTGGTACACAAATAATTTTTTAAAATTGTATCTTCAGCACCCTGCATCACGAGAAAGAGGCGTCTAAAGAAAAACAGCATAAAAAAGTCTTACAGTTTTCGCCCAAAGTGGTTAACGGCTCAGCTTACTTTTTCCCAACACCCTGTATATCTAACTACTTACGTCTTTGCTTATCTCCAGCCAGTGTATCGCCATGGAAACATAGTTGTCGCCACCTTCGAATTTGGCGACGCCCGGATATCTGTTCTCAAAATCGGCCAATTGTGCGTACACTTCCTCATCCGAATGGTATTTCGGGTTGTACTGATTTTCTCCATTGCCGAAATCGTACGCGCTGGCCCAGTGTAAAGGATCGTCTTTCATCAAGGTGATGTTGTATTGCAAGTATCCAGATTTCGGAATAGTCTAAAAGAAAAAATAATTTAAAAAATTGCAAAACGTTCAAAATATCAAACTCGTACGATTTCTGAAGTGTAGCTCTCGTATCCCCTCGCAGCTACGGTTAAATTATACCGTCCGGGCAGAAGTATCCTCCAGTAGTCTCCGCTCTCGGCGGAATTGACGGGATGTTTGATTCCTTCAACGACTATTTGGGCATGTTTGATCGGATTACCTATCGTACTGGTTACGAAACCAGAAACGCCCTTATGGACCTAAATGAAACGATTATTATTTTGCACGTAATTATCACAGTCCGTCGTTAAATCACCTGTTCCATGTACGTTATCAGAGCGTCCTTGTTGTCTAACCAGTACTGAGGCAAAGCTTGGGCGTAGGGGTATTTATAACAACCGATCTCAAGAGTTATTTCCATGCACCCGGCCGTGAGGTAGTTCCAATCCTGCATGCCGCCCGTGACGACGTACCACTTGGCCCCGTTCGTGATGCCGCCGGGGAAACGTTCGTCGGGGAACATCGGGCAGGGCTTGCCTTCGTGCATCACTCTGTGCGCCTTAATTAAAGTTTACAAATATAACAATTATTTAATATAATTACAATATGTATCTGTTACAAAAAGTAACACCCTGTACATTTCTTACTTACATCAGAGTAACTGTGTGCCAAATACTTGAAGACTTCGTTATCGGGCGAGGGGTTCTCGTAGGTTATACCGTCGGGTGTGTCATCGTAAGGGTAGTTCGCGACAAGGGCACCGTTGTGTAAATTAGCGGACAATACGAAGGGTTCAGACAGGATCCAGTCCATTACCGCCTGCGTCTCGGGTTGGATGTCCTCGTTGTACTAGAAAGCATGCTGTTTAGCACATTTTAAGTTGAAATAATAAGCGCGTGTATGTTATACCTGGTTAGTACCATACTGGTCAGGAAAATTTCGATTCAGATCAAAACCGTTGGCGTTACTCCTTCCGTGTTCGCTGGAAGAATCACCTAAATCGACAAACGGTGATAAAATTAACAAGTAATATATAAAAAAACTCACCTTCTTTTGATATTTCATAACCGTCCGGGTTCATACTGGGTAATAGGTGTATTCTGGTGGTTTCTAGCAATTTTGTCACTCTGTCGTCGGTTCCGTATCTCTCACAGAGATATTTAATCAGATACAGTAATAGTTCCCTACCAACGATTTCATTTCCATGCATATTCGCCACATATTTGAACTCGGGTTTTCCTAAAAACATAAACGTAATACGTCATTTCTCTCAGAAGAATACAATCAATTTATTCATTTTACCTGGTACATGTTTGTCTGGGGTACTGCTTATGATTAAAACGTACAGCTCCCTGCCCCGCACGGATTTCCCTATAGAATGCAGTTTGGTAATTTTCGAATACTGATTGCTGAATTCTTTCATGAAATTCACCATTTCCTCGTAATGATGGTGTTTGAAGATCGAGTTGTTACTGATCATAAAACCGTACTGGTCGTATAAAGCTGACGTAGCGTTTACAACGGCTTGGAAGGCACCTGTAGGAAGTACCTCATCATTACATTCAGATTAATAAAAAAATACAAATGAAGGATGTCTTTGAAAAAATTTGGTAATATTTCGTTTTCTCTTTTCTTTACTCTAAGGACAATTTCAAAGTTCTGTTCATATTTTTTAACCACTTTTGGCAACATAATATATTTTTCATTGTTTCTTTGTTTAATTTACCGTCGATTTCGTCTATTGTAACACTTTTCGTCATTGACATAAACGATCTGTTATATTAATTTTAAAAACATAAATTTCGTTCAAATTTTAATATCCTCAAACCCACAATAAATGTGAAATATTAAAAATCGAATCAAATATGTCAAGAATCAATCAAGGTAATCTCAGCCAATCATCGTAATCTTAAACGGATTATCGGCACACTACTCTACTTTGTGTATTTTTATGTTATGTCGTAAGCAGCAACTAGTTATTTCTTTTTTTAAATTAATCTCTAAAACCAATGCAAATAGCTGTGTACAGTTCAATTTATTTCATCTGATCGATGTAGGTAGGATGCGCAGTGACAAAGTGTATACCCTGTCCGCGTAGCTTTTTATCGTGACTCGTAAACGTACTTCCTCGCAAAAAGGCATTTAAAATTAACAAAATATAATTGTTTTTATGCTTTTAAAGGTAGCAGGTTTCAAGGGTCTGACTTTAGTTGTCTGTTAGTCTCTCACCGATCAGATGGAATTGGTTGAACTGTAGTGTATGTGCGCTTTTGATAAGTTAATGACAAGCATGAAGTTAGTGCAGTAAGGTGTAGAATTGTGCGAAAAAGGGGTAAAATAGGAGATTAATAGGGAATTAAGCCACAAAAATAAAATACACATGTCCATTTTAATCATTTATTCCAAACTTACAGATATAAACACACAAGTAATTTGTACACACTGAGTCGTTTATACTGAATTGACAGTAAAATCCACTGCTACATTTTCGAAAATAAAAACCAACAAAAAAAAGATTAAATAAAATGTTAACAAAAACAAACATATGTATTTTATTTAAATTAGAAATAAAAAAAAAAATAATGTTAGTAACTACAACTACAAAATTTGTACTTTCTGCAATTATGTAAAGATTTGTTCAGATCTTAAGTCTTTTAATATTCGTTAGTCTCTAAGCCATTTTATTCCAAAAGGAATAAAGTACGCTTGTAAAAATTTACAAAATTTGCTCTAAGTACCATATAATTATCTAAAAATTTGTTCAACCATGGAGAGTATTTTTAGCATTCGTAGTCTATAGTTTTACAATAAAAAATTTTGATTTTTATTATCAGTTTAGACTGAAAATTTAGAGGTCTCATTATCAAAACCACGTTTCATTATTAAAATATGACTTTTCAGCGGCGCCACAATATAAACCAAAACAAACAATTTGTTTCATTATCAAAATATGACCTTTCCCATCAAAATATGATCATGTTTCACTATTAAAATGCGACCATGTCTCAATTATCAAAATATGACCATGTCTCATTATCAAAATATGACAATTTAATTTGGGGCAGAAGCTCCCATCAAAATATGGTCATGACTCATCAGAATATTACCATATCTCATGACAAAATATGGCCATGTCTCATTATCAAAATATGACCCTTTAATTTGTGGTAGGAGCCACTAGTTTTAGTTCATAAACCAAAACATAGAAAATTTGTTTCGTTATCAAAATATGACCTTGTCCCATTAAAATATGGTCATGTTTCATTATCAAAATATGACCACGACTCATCAAAATATGACCATGTCTCATTATAAAAATTTGACACTTTCATTTGGGGCAGAAGCTCCCATCAAAATAAGGTCATGACTCATCAAAATATTACCATATCTCATGACAAAATATGGCCATGTCTCATTATCAAAATATGACCCTTTAATTTGTGGTAGAAGCCACTAGTTTTAGTTCATAAACCAAAACAGAAAATTTGTTTCATTATCAAAATATGACCTTGTCCCATTAAAATATGGTCATGTTTCATTATCAAAATATGACCATGACTCATCAAAATATGACCATCTCATTATAAAAATTTGACACTTTCACTATCAAAATATAACCATGTCTCATTATCAAAATCTGACCACTTTCATTTGGGGCAGAAGCTCCCATCAAAATAAGGTCATGACTCATCAAAATATTACCATATCTCATGACAAAATATGGCCATCTCATGATCATTATCAAAATATGATCATGTTTCATTATCAAAATATGACCATGTCTCATTATTAAAATATGACCACGACTCATCAAAATATGACCATCTCATAAAAATATGATCACATTAATTTGGGGCAGAAGCCACTGATTTTTCCATACACCAAAGCATAAAAAATTTGTTTCATGACCACTCTATTTGGCCACTTTTATTTTCATCAGCAGCCACTAATTTTTGGTACAACACTGATATAAACAGAAGAAATTAGTTTTATTATAAAACTATAGATTACCGAAAGCACTACGTCTTCCCAAACACCAAACCCAACAATAAAAAAAGTGCACAGAAAAAAACAATTGCAATCATGATATGACTTTTAATTTTATTTTATCACATGGTTATGTGCGTCTATTCGACCAATACCACTGCTTGTTGCCCGAGTTAGTGTGAGAGTTACCTTTTTCGGGGGGAGTCAGTTTCAAGGTAAAGTTCTGCACGGTTGTCTTCCCTTCTTCTACAACCACCTTCACCCGCTCGGACGGCAAATAACTGAAAATGAAACGGTCATTCGGAAAGGTAACGGAATTTTATTTCTCGCTCACTTACCCGCAAGCTGTAGCGTATATCTCGTAAGTCCCGGGCAAGAGCAGCCTCCAGTACTCCCCTCGGTTGGACGTGGTGATGTTGTGGCCGATACCGGCGACGACTACGTCGGCGTCCAACACAGCTTCGTTCCTCTCGTTAGTGACGGTTCCCTTCACGCCCCACTGGGTCGCTTCCATGAATCTCAGGAGAGACTCCTTGTTGTTCCGCCACTCGTCGGGTAAAGTCTCGGCTTTCGGGAACTTGCAACAGCTCAGTTCGAAGGTCACCTCGAAGCAGTTGGAGTGGACATAGTTAAAATCTTGCATACCCCCTACAAAGACAAGATTTAGTACATAAAATCTCGTATTTAACGGAGCGAGTACCTCTGACTTCGTACCAGAAGGCCCCGTTGGTGATACCCTGGTTGAAGTTGTCGTTTTTGCAGACGTTTCCTTTTTTCATGAACAAATGAGAATTTGCATATAGGAGAGCTAGCGATTTGAAGAGGTTGTTGTCGGGGGATTTGCTTTCCCTGCAGCATGTTCTTGGTGGACTAAAAAAGTATATATTTAATAGGCCCATTCAGTAGAATTTTATTTGCATATTCCAAAAGTTTACCCTTTAATTAGTTAATATGCCAAAAATCAATTTTTTGTTTCAACGAGAAATGTGTGAAATAAATTAATGAAAACAGAGCGCGGAAAAACGTTGAGCAACCATTGCCTGACGTCATAATAGAGCACTCCGCTCACGCTCGCTCTCTTCCCATTCTGTGTTAATACATACGATATGTGGATCGATTCGCAGTTTCGTTAATTATTGTTTTTATGTCTAAATGGGTCGAAACCGAGGATTGTACAAATATTGTATAGTTCCAGGCTGCAAAAGTACCTCAGGATCGACTCCGAATAAAATATTTATTTCATTACCGAAAAATGAAAAGTTTGTGTGATGTTATCCACGGTTTCCCCAGCCACGGTATGCAACTCAAAACCACCTTCGTTTTTCTTTGGATGCACGTCTAGGGGGTTGTAAAATATTATTATTTGAACATTTAGAGCACAATTCTCAACTTTATGCCGGAAATAAATTCTGCCCCATCTAAATGTTCGTGTTCACAAAAAATTCGAAATACGACGGCGACAGGGACCTATAAGCAGTTAAGAACCACTCTAGTTTTTCTTTGGTTTTCCATCTAGAGGGTTTTAAATATTATTATTTGAACATTTAGAGCAGAATTATAAAATTTATGCTGGAAAAAATTTCTGCCCCATCTAAACGTACCCGTTCACAAAAATTTCGAAATACGTCGGCGAGAGGGACCTATAAGCAACTCAGAACCACCCTCGTTTTTCTTTGGTTGCCCGTCTAAGAGGTTATAAATATTATTATTTAAACATTTAGAGCAGAATTTTCAAATTTATGTCGAAAAAATAAATTCTACCCCATCTAAACGTTCCCGTCCACAAAAATTTCGAAATACGTTGCGAGAGGCACCTATAAGTAATTTATTTAAATAATAAT